GTTTAAACAATGTTCAAATCCCTTGTAGTTGTTTTAGAACTATTTTAGGCTCAGTGCATATTGCTTATAATTCTTTGTCCTTCTCTGAACATAAAAAATTATTAAACGCAATATAACTTCTGAGTCCACTGAGGTCATTTCGTCACATGCACATGGATAATATCAGATGGAAAATGCATTACTGATATAAGAAACAGAATAAGGACAGACAAAAACTGCATTATGTAAAATGAAGAACATCTTATGCAATATATCTCAGTCATTGAAGGTTAAAAACAAATTCTTGCTTGCTACATACATCCAGTTTTAACATATGGCTGTGAGTCCTGGACTTTCGGCAGGCAGGCTAATTTCTAGAGGCCTCAGAGATGTGGTTTTACAGAACAATGCTTAAAATACCTTGGACAGCTAAAAAAGAGCAACCAAGAGATTTTGAAAGAGGCGGGAGCCTGAAGACAACTAATCACAGACAACAGAAGGGGACAGTCATAGTTTTTTGGCCATGTTATGAGAAGAGGGAAAATGGAGCATGTTGTGACCACTGGACAGTTTGTGGAAGGAAGGAAATAATGAGAGAATGAGAGGAGATTCCTGACAAGAGGGATTTGCACGATCAAATACTGGCTGCCCATAGCAATCAGGTAACATAGGTTGGCAGTAGAAGTCTTTCAGAGTGTATTGAACATGTATGCAGTGGTAGTAAGAATGACTGCAGCAGAGTGAGATTCGTTTTTCGTGATGCCATTCATTGTTGTGATGTCAAATACAGTAAGTAGACTTCAACGGTCATCATGTGTCAGGAGCCCTCTGTACCTGTTCAGTTACCTGTAAGCGTGACACCATTGAGTAACCCTGGACAAGTGTGCAATCACATATTGTCTGATTGGGAATTTTGTCCTTTCTTGTCACTTGGACCACTTTTCTGAGATATCTCATTTCTGAGGCCTGAAGCTGACTTCTGTGACCTGATGTCATTGCCCATGACTCACACCCGTAGGTCAGGACTGACACTTGGGTAGAGCGGTAAACAGCACCTTAATCGGTCTTGGAAACAAATCGAAAGACAGCAGTTATTGTCTATAAGTCCTTGTCAATTGGCATAGAGGACGGCGCTACGGGTTGCCTCTGATGTTGGGAGACATGTTCAAATGTCACTGATCTGCTACCGCCCACCTCAAGCTGGGCAGCCCCCAGTCAGTAAGATATTGATCTGACACAGCCTGTGTCCTTCGGTGGTTGTTTATTGAATTGCAGGCTGTAAAAACTGCACAGGCAATAAAAAACAGTTTTCTCAAAGCTGAGTCGATGAAGGCTCAAGTGGCTGTGTCACACCAGGAGAATGGAGGATGGCAGAATCCCTAAGGATATCCTCTATGTTGAATTGAAGATAGGAAGATGCTGTGGCCAACCTTTACTGTGATATAAAGATGTGTGGAAGCGGAACATGAATGATACAGGTATTGAGGTGGACTCTGAACAAAATGTCATGGACCGTGCTATGTGGAGGGGTGACATTTGACCACAGAGGTAAAGATGATATATCTGTCACATCATTAAAATATTGCTCTATCGATCATACTACGCGCCTCGCTTTGGAAAATCAGGCATTCTTAGTCCAGGTGGTATTAATATCCAGCATACCTTCATCTAAATAGTTCTACTCTTATCACATTTTACATGTTAATTATTTTCTTTTATTTTCTTTTATTTCATATTATTACTTTATTCTATTTCTTATCAGTATCATTTATGAATCATTAACATTTGTATTTCTTTTATTCCCAGTATTATATATTAACAATACTACTGTTTATTATTTTTTGTGACTATATTTTTTAACAATCGTTTATTTTATTTTATTTCATTTATTCCACATCACATTTTCTTAAACGTTGCTCACGTCGCCCCTTAGAGATCTACATACTCTCCTCTCCTCGGTGTTACGTTTGTGTAGTTCACTTATGTTTGAAAAAGGCTGCCCTGCTGAAACGTTACGTTGTGTTGTTTTGTTCACATTTTTTCTTCTTCCCCATTTTGTTGAGCTTTTTAGTCAAATTTCTCCGGAATTCCATTATGTGTAGGGGGAAAACCAGGAAGGAAGAAATTATTGTCGAAAGGATGAGGTCTGAGAAGAAATACACTAAACACAAATGATCCTGAAATCCCATGCTGTAATTGTGGAAGATTTGTCTTAACGTGAGCAGGTCTTGCTAGTCACACTCGCTGTTACCGTTGCCCGAGTCCCATTGTGCCTCATAGCACAGTAAAACACTATCATCTGGAAAGATGAAAAGGTGCCAGTCAGTGAGGCAGATCTACACACACTTGGAACACCAACTGGGAAGAGAAGGCCAGTCACAGAGAGGAATTGAGACGTGATATCTGCAGGAAAGAACCTCAAGGGCTTGGAATGCTGAAGAAGAAGAACAAGAATTTAGGTCATAGGTAGTAATTATGTGATTGCGCGGAATAGAGGGAATTAAAAAGCATGATAGAATTACTAATGTTGAGCTTCAGGAGAGAAATAAATCCCTGTGATTCCAGAAATGCACCAAAAAAAAAAAAAAATGCTGGCTTTGGATAGAACACATTGAAAAAAACCAAAGAAAATCACTGAAACCCACAAAGGCATAGAAAAAAAAAATGAAGATTAAAAACACACAGAGAAGAAAGCTAAAGAGAGAAGTTAAAAAAGATAGGAAAAACAGGGGTTGAGCAATAGCAAATGAAAGGACCTCTTGGCGTGTTGGTTTAGGATCTATGCTCAGTAGTGGGATGCGACGTCCGTGGCTTAGGCGTTGCGAGTCCGACTCGTAATTCTAATGTACCGCGATCAAAACCCACTGCTGACCTCATAGGTTTTTATCATGGTACGGGGCGTCGCAGGTCGACCCATCCTAAAATGGGTACCAGGATGGCTGTCCTAGGGAAGTAAAGATGGCTGGCGTAATGCTGACCACAATACCCACCGATTGGTCTGTAAAAATATGGGGCTGTCTTCCCATATTCCCGATGTGCCTAAGACATAAAAATGGATTTTTACTTGACTTTATTACTCAATAGTGGGATGAAGAGAAGAAGAAGGAGTAGTAATACTGAAAGAAGTAATAACTATGATTTTCCTGAAACAAAATGGAAGTCATGATTTATTATTTCTATTGGGGTCCTAGTGGGTTAAAGTAATAAGTCCAGCTATTGTTTTTTTTGATAATGAAGAGATGGAAAATGTCATAGATATTGACAAGTTAGACTCAGTACTGAAAACCAGAGAAGTAAGACAAAGACTCACTTTAGCAATGCAGAGATTAAACAGCATGAAGAACCTATGGCGCAGCACCAAAGAACCTATGGCGCAGCACCAAAGAACCTATGGCGCAGCACCAAAGAACATATGGCGCAGCACCAAAAAACATATGGCGCAGCACCAAAGAACCTATGGCGCAGCACCGAAGGACCTATTGCGCAGCAGCAAAGAACCTATGGCGCAGCACCTAAGAACATATGGTGCAGCACCTAAGAGCATATGGTGCAGCACCAAAGAGCCTATGGTGCAGCACCATATGCTCTTAGGTGCTGCACCAAAGAACCTATGGTGCAGCACCAAAGAACCTATGACGCAGCACCAAAGAACCTATGGCGCAGCACCAAAGAACCTACGGCGCAGCACCAAAGAACATATGGTGCAGCGCCTGCAAGCAAGTTAAAGTTAGTTTTCACATAGCAGCTGATGGATGAGTCGTGGACTCAGTTACTTAAGATAAAATAGGAGCTCTTGAACTGAAATGCTACAGGCAATGTTTTAGAATACTGTGGAGAAAAACACAAACATCTTACATATTCCTTTAGCATTGGTACATAAACAGCATACTGTCCCAAAAACTGAGGTATTGTGGCCATGTTCGACCTCTTAGTGGCTTGAGAGAACAGTGATTGAAGATAGTTTCTGGACAACCCGGCAGACCTCTGGTCAGATGTGTTGCATTGGCTATGTTAGTACACAGGGCTGGGCATTGTCTGTGTTAGTACACAGGGCTGGGCATTGTCTATGTTAGTACATAGGGCTGGACATTGTCTATGTTAGTACACAGGGCTGGGCATTGTATGATTGATTTATTATTTAACAAATGGGAAGAATCTATTGTCCTATAATTACATGCGGGTATTTTGGACAATTTTATGTGTTCTTTCTAAAAAATGATTTCACTTGACATTAATTGGTTGAAAAACTATCTCCACTAAATTATGTACAGACTTTAATTGTGTACCAATAAGCTAAAGTTTTCAAGCTTTACTTACCTATGAAGATCTTATATTTTTAAAAGTTAGAAAGTTGAATCAAATGTCGGGATAAAGGTATTTCACCAATTAGATGTAAAGACATTAATAAACAATAAACCCTGGAATGCCCAAATGTGGGCATCAACATCCATTAGAAAACTGCATGAAGATGATTGGTCAGTTTTGCACAGTGTTTAGGAGGCCTGCATGTGATTATATTGACCTCAAGTAGGGCTGTTACTATGGAAACTCAGGCTACTTTCTATGATGATGTCACAGTTCCTAATTGTTGTAGTTGCAGAGCATCATGCTATGTCATCCAATCAATTATTTTCTTGGCCATAGGAATGTAGTGGTTTGATTCTCTGTTCCTTTTGTGTTTACTGATTACTCAACTCCATATTTAAAAAAAGTTTACAAAAATGTACATAAATATATTTTATTACCAATAAATGTGTTAATGACTTATGCAAAATAGTTGACTTTTTAAGTATTTTGTTTGGGAATTCCTGGGTTCATGACATTTTCTGCCAAAGGTTCCTGATTTAAAAGAGTTTAAACTTAGCCTGCACTGCATACTAATAATCTGCGAGGAGAACTTTAATCTTAGGTTGTCAGAAATCTTTCTTGTATAAATCTGGCTGAGGTAACTAAATACTTTAGCATGGTGAAGAAACAAAATTGCTATTTAAAAAAAATGTTTCCTATTTATTTCCATTCAGGCTGTCCAAAGGGCTACAAATGTTGTTTATCAGCAACCGCAAGTGTCGCGTGACAAGAGAGGAAAAGCTGTTGGCCAGAAAGGTGGTTTCCGCGGATGTACCGTGTGGCTGACTGGGTTATCTGGTGCTGGGAAGACAACTATTTCTTTTGCCCTTGAAGAGTATCTTGTTGGCCAGGGTATTCCAGCATACTGGTTGGTATTTATGTATTGCTAATGTTCTCTACCTCCTTGTCGTTATGCTTTGCCTTCCCTTGCTGCTTCTCTGCCTCTTCTTCTCATTTTATTTCTCATAACTCACCTGAAAGTAGCACAAGGGTTAGTATTAGTATGGCTGTGTTGTAGGTCAGCTTTTTTCATTGCACCTTTTTTTTTCTCCAACACTCTTTATGAGACATGGAATTGATATCTTGGAAATGATAGTGATTTAGGTAATTCTGACTTTTTGTCAAGTCAGTGTCGGCCACACCCTTAGAATGGATAAATCAAGACTTCCTTACCAAGCCCTCATTTGGACACCACAGGGGAAAAGATCTCGTGGAAGACCAAGGGAAACCCTACATAGAACTATTATCAGGGAAGGCTCGCTCATGGGCCACTCAAACATCCAAGTCCTACAACAGATTGCAACGAACCGCCATGCATGGAGAGTCATGACCTCTGCCCTATGTGCCGCACTCGACACAAGAGGAAAGACTAACTAACTAACTAAGTGTCATCAGTATAAGAACATTGGTATATGACAACTACCAACGACAGTCTTTGGCGTATTTGTTGTATCCCTATGTTCTTTGTATAATAACAAATCAGGGGACAGTATACATATTTGCCTGACAATTTTTATACACACAATTGTTCCTTAATGGTTGTTGATTGTTATAGACTCTGCTTGTTGAAATGCTCTTTATTATTCAGTAACTTTGCTATCAGTGTGAAATTATTCTGTTAGTCATGAATGGAGGTTCCAACCAGTGTAGGTTAGTCATGAATGGAGGTTCCATCTTCACTGTAGGTTAGTCATGAATGGAGGTTCCAACTTTACTGTAGGTTAGTCATGAATGGAGGTTCCAACTTCACTGTAGGTTAGTCATGAATGGAGGTTCCAACTTTACTGTAGGTTAGTCATGAATGGAGGTTTCAACTTCACTGTAGGTTAGTCATGAATGGAGGTTCCAACTTCACTGTAGGTTAGTCATGAATGGAGGTTCCAACTTCACTGTAGGTTAGTCATGAATGGAGGTTCCAACTTCACTGTAGGTTAGTCATGAATGGAGGTTCCAACTTCACTGTAGGTTAGTCATGAATGGAGGTTCCAGCTTCACTGTAGGGGCATTGCCCAATAACTTCTTCATCTTATGCCTATGGAAATATTACAGAATGTAGGCAACTGTCCCATTTAAAAACTAGGGAAAAATATTTCAGGCTCAGCAAAATCTTTAGGCTCGCTCACGCGGAGTAATTGCATAAGGAGGCTGTTAGATATGCTAACACTAACAGTTCCAGAATTGCAGCTCAGTTTGAAAGCTGGCATTGTACACACAATACTGCATAACTCTGAGTCCCAGGGGGTTTAGCATCCCAGGCCCAAGTTGTAGTCAAGAGAGACGTAAAATCGGCGCATCATGCGTTCATAGGGACTCTAGGTAGAAATCTATGAACGTATGATGGGTTCCTTGGGACTCAAAGAGATAAATATATGACAATCCAAACCTAGTTGTCACCGCCCGTTTGAGTTGTTATGGGCACACACACACACAAAAAACATTCCACGTGAAGTCCACAGCTCATAGTGTTATACCAAACACCCAGCTCAGGAGTTGGGGGACAAAAAATTTGAATTCACTTCACTTACTTAGTCGCTCCTCTTCTACCTTGGGGTGTAGAGGTTTGCCAGAGAGATCGCCAGACTTTTCTATCAGCAGTTTTCTTTCTGGCTTTGTTCCATTCCAGTCCTCTGTCGGTTAGGGACTGTCGGATGTTGTCTTCCCAGCGCAGCCTGGGTCGTCCTGGAGGTCTGGTTCCTTGGTTCTTAGCCTCCCATGCTTGCCATGGTGGCCGATTTTCTCCCATTCTGCATACATGTCCAAACCATCGTAACTGTGACTGATCTACTCGGGTTAGTAAGGGCTGGGTATCAAGATCTTGACGTATTGTCTGATTGCAGACTTTGTCCCTTCTTGTCACTTGGACCACCTTTCTCAGGTATCTCATTTCCGAGGCCTGCAGCTGGCTTCTGTGAGCTGTTGTCATTGCCCATGACTCACACCCATAGGTCAGGACTGGTACATAGGTAGAGCGTAGCCAGCTCTGTCTTAATGCCTCCATTTTAGTCTAATACAACTCCAAGGTATTTGAACTGGTTAACCTGCTCCAACGCATACTGTCCCATCATGATCTGGTGTTTCTTCTCCTCTCTTGAGATCACCATGGTTTTAGTTTTGGAGACACTGATGGTCATCCCTTTCTTTTCAAGCTCTTCCTTCCAGACAAGTAAGTTGGACTGAAGGTGTGCCTCTGATTTAGCTATCAGGGCCACATCGTCTGCAAAAGCCAGCTCTGATATACAGATTGGTCTCATCTTCCAGTACCCTACAGAGTACTTCTTTGTCTTCTCCTTACAGGTCTTGATGACATCATCCATCATAAGAATGAAGAGGTAAGGTGAGAGAATATCACCTTGTCTAACACCGCTGGCAGTCTTGAATTCTTCTGACTTTTGGTCTGCTGTTCTTACATAATTTCTGCACTTTTTGTAGAAACTCTGTATTGCACTGATCAGGGGTGCTGGGATGTTTTTCCCTGCCAAGCAGTCCCAGAGCTTGTTCCTGGGTACCTTGTCAAATGCCTTTTCCAGATCCAAAAAACATAAGTGCATCTCACTCTTATATTCCAGTGCTTTTTCACTCATCTGTCTCAGTGTGAAGATAAGGTCTTGAGTACTTCGGTTTGCTCTGAAGCCGCATTGGGCCTCGTCCAGCTGTGGCTCTACCAGACTTCTAAGTCTCTGTTCAAGAATTCTAGAGTAACTTTTACCAGGAACGCTGAGGAGGGATATGCCTCTGTGGTTTTCACATTGTCTGTTATCACCTTTTTTTAAATATAGGTAAAGCTTTGCATTCTTGGTCTGGAAATGGGCAATTGACATCAGAAAACACTGGCTGGAAAAAAATAGTTTTTCACAGCATCAATGATATGTCAGCGATCTGCTGTATTGGACTTTAAGTTCTGTTATAGACTGTTTAATAAAAATAAATGAGGAAATTGGAGACTTGTCTGAAACCCTTCTTTCATACTCTGGGAATATTTCTAAATGATTATTTGTTCTTAAAGCTGCTGTTTGCTGCCATGTTCTTTGTCATCAGTGCTTTAACTATTGAATAGTTTGATTTCTTTCAGGTCTTTTATTTCTTCCAGTGTAGTAAAATTGAATGTCATTGGTAGTACTCTTTTTTCTCTACAGGCTATTTTTAGTGTTATTTTCTGGTTTAATCTTATTTCGTACCGTTTTCTTAATAAAAAAAAAATAATAGCTTTCTTACAAGACTTATTGTGCAACAGTCTTCATGACTTATAGTGCTCATTTCTTTCAAGAGCTACAAATGCAGATTTTAATAAATCATTAGAGGTGTACCCGAACGTATTCATTTCATTATAATGTTATTGCAATTCCAAAATTTCTTGTTGCCTCATTTTTCTCTAACCTGATGTAATCTGGTCTAATGCTGTTCCTGTGTTCATGTAATGTAGCGTATTCTCAATATTTGCACCAAATATTTGTCAATAATGATGGTTCTTTCTTAAGATTTAGGGGTTCTTGAGTGAAGTTGCATTGGTTAAAGTTGGTAGGTCTGCATAGTGTTTGTACTACAGGTTTATCTCCTTAAAGTATGTTTTCTGAAACCCAGCTAAAACGTTTTTTGCATCAGTCAGTTTATTTAGTCATTAAGTAAGAAAGTTTCATTGTTTTAATGAGCTTTTCATTGGATAGAAAAGCAGAGTTGAGTGGGGTTGAGTTGAGTTGAGTCAAGAATTGACATCACAGCACTTAGGGCATTCCCATGTGTGTTCTGTCCTCATCTTCAGCAGCTAGCAAATAGTTCTAATACTGATGTTATCGGTCACAATTTGGTTATATGTCGGTCTTGACTTTTCTCTGAGTTTAGTGAGCTGGCCAGACCCTTTGGTTACACCCAAGTGCCTCATTCTCTGCAGACCAAAATAATGGTTGATTTGAGTTGATTCAGGAACCAGTATCACGGCACTCGGGCCTTCCCATAAGTGCTGCCTCCCTATTTTCAGCAGCTAGTTCCAGAAACAGTCTCATTAAATGCCCATCTTGCCTTTCCTGTAAGTGCTGAGTATTGGCCAGATCCACACCTTGCTGCATCACTCTCACCAGACTGTGATGATCTGTTTGCTATTCTGTTCTACACAAGCCCCCCATAGGCCCTCAGTCACACCTGCCTTATCGTGCATCAGTATTCTGTCAAGTTGTGCAGAGCCAGTCAGTCTGTCCAACTGTTCATTTCTCAACACACATGCATACCCCGGGGAAAAGATCAAACAGTGCTCCTGACGCATGACTTCCAAAGTGAAGCATACCACTTTCCACAAAGCATGCCCATTCCTATGGCACCAGTAACTGTCTGATTCTATATCCATCTGGCTTTTCCCTTGAGCGTTGAGCCTCAGCTAATGACATCACCAGAGCCAGCAACTTCCTGAATTAAGTTCCAGCTCCGCTGTGCCTGCTGGCCACTCCCTGCACTCCCAGCTCAATCTGATTATAACTCTACACAAGTCTGACTGTTCTACTAACACTCTGACCCACTCACCTCTTCGCCTAATGGTCTCCAGGATGCAAACTTGACTGTTCGTGTCCTCTGCTTAGCCATTCATAACTTCTGTCTGATCAGTCACACACCCTTCACCCTTGCAAAGGGTGATCTGTGTCTGCAGCTATTCTGAGGTATGACTTTGCCTGCAGCACCTTATGCCTACCTGCAACAGTTGGCACACCAAGGATGTATCACATACACACTATTGGAAAGTCTCTGGTACATCCCAGAATGACCCACATTGCTGCAATCTGTATTGGCTCTAGTTTAACTCGTTGACTCTTTGAGACAGTGAACAGTCCTAGTCCATAATCAATAACTGAGAGGACCAAGTGTTGACAAGTGTGAAAAGCATTCTTTGCTCTCAGTCCATTGCAGTCTTGAGTTCTTTGAGTGATCTTTTGACACACTGTCACAACCGTCTCCCCATCGTTGAAGGACAGGCTCCTGTCAAATATAATTCCCGGTTACTTCACTTTGCTTCCTCTGTTGTCAGAAGAGCGTCAATACCTTAGGATTGGCTACATAGCTACCTGACCCCCCTTCCAAAACCAGGCAAAGATCATTCAAGACTCAACAGTTTCAGGATTATCACCCTACAAAATACTTTTGGCAGAGTGCTAGAGAAAATTATTGCTGTTGAACTGCAAATGTTTTTGGAAAGGGAAGAGCTGCTGCCAAAAGGTTTGGGTAGTTACCAGCCATAGAAAGATATATGATCAAATGCAGCTCCTTTTGCTTTTGATCTTTATGAGGAGTTCCAGAATAGACAGGAGACGGTTGTGACAGCACTTACTTAATCTTGAAGATGCCTACAATAGAGTCAGATATGATGTTTTGATATCTGCACTTATAGAGAAAGGAGTTTGTCCCTGGCTTGTGAAGTGGATAGCAGCTGTCCTGCATTCACATATGGTTGCCCTTTGCCTGGGTACATGGACCTCAAAACCATGTAATAGCGCCCCAGGACTACCCCAGGGTTCTGCAATTTCACTGCAAGCGAGATTGCAGAACTTGAAGCACCAGGTGTTGGATGGATATTGACATTTGCTGATGATGTCCTTGCATATAGGCAAGGAAATGATAGACAACAGATAGCCCAAGAGCTGCAGGCAACTGTAGATAAAGTGACTGACTGGTGTGCAAAAATGTGGGCTGTAATCAACTCAGAAAAGGCAGCTATTTTCTGGTGCTCTCTGCACAATAGAATTGTAAGAGCTGATGTTCCAAGCCTCACATTTAATAACAGCAACATCAAAAGGGAAAGAAAACTGAGGTACCTGGGTATCATTTTCGATAGACGCCTGTCCTATAGAGATCACGTTGAGGCAGTTGCAGTGAAATGCCAGAAAGGACTCAATGCTCTCAAAATTATGGCAGAAACGGACATGGAACAAAGAAAGCTGTTCACAATGTTTCAGCATGTGATCCTGTCAAGTGATAGATTATGGACTTGGAATGCTTACCATATCAAAGAATCAGCTGATAAAACTTACATGCATACAGAAGAAAGCCATGCGGGTATTTCTGGGATGTAAAAGAGATACCCCGGTAGTATGTATGCGATATATACTTGCACTACCTACTATTGCAGATAGGCTCAAAGTTTTGCAGAAAAGTCATATCTCAGAGTAGCTGCAGACAAGAACTCCTGCATAAAGCCCTGGGTAGAGCTGAGTGTCACAGACTGAAAAGTGGACGGTCTTGGATGGCACAAGCTGAAGACACAGTCAGACGTATGTAAACCTGATAATTTTGAGCGAAGAGAGGAGTAGGTCAAAGTGTCTGAGCAAGTTTCAGACTTGTTTAAAATTCTAATCACGTTAGGTCGTGAATGCAGTGACTGGTCAGCTGGTGCTGCAGAATCAAAAGTTCAACAAATGATTCATGACAGCTCCTCTGAAAGCAAGCTGAAAAAGGTGAAGACAGGATTGCTTCGAGCAGAGTGGCAAGCTTCACTTGCAAGATCACGGATATTAATACTTTGGATCTTTTCTCCAGGCCCGCTGGCATGGTGAGGAATAAACAAGCAGACAGATTGGCTGGATCTGCACTGCTGAGTGGTGAACTGACACGTGAAAAGTCAGATGTGGTCAGAGCCCTATGGGAACAAGTAAATAAGTCAGAAGAGAATCTAGATTACTATGGGCTGGAGAGAATGATGCACCTGGGTGTGACCAGAGAGTTCGGCCGGCACACTTTGCTCAGAGAAAATGCAAGACGGACACAACCACGACTACGACTGGCACCATTAGTATTAAAACTCTGCGCTTGCTGTTGAGGATGGGGACAGAGCACATATTGGAATGCCCTGAGTGCTGTGATGTCAATTCTTGACTCAACTCAACTCAGCTATGATACTAGCGACTTCACAATGGCATGTTCAGGTAATTCTGTATCTGTTAGTGCATATTTAATGAACTATGAAAGCTTCACATTTTAAAGATACATTTGTTGTCATCTTTTGTTACAGTTTGGACGGAGATAATGTTCGACAAGGTCTTAACAAGAACTTGGGTTTCTCACACGAGGATAGAGAAGAAAACATCCGTCGTATTGCTGAAGTTGCCAAACTCTTTGCCGATGGTGGCATTGTATGCATTACAGCTTTCATTAGTCCTTTCAGAGCGGTAAGTACAGATGTTAAACTCTGTCTGACATTTTATTCACTAAATAGTATGTAATGCAGATATCATGTAGAGCAGACTTTGATCATATGCAAGCGTGGCCTAGTGGCACCGAAGACAATCCTGGCGACACACATGGAACCGAGACTATTGGTCTTACTGTTCAACAATTTGGCCTTTTCAGTAATTTATTACAGCCTAGGAACTTTACCCGTAACTACTCCACAGCATAAAAAGCTGGAATGGATTCAAAATGAAGATTGAGAATTGTCTTGGGTTGCCCACAAAATACACCAGTTAGAACTACGACATATATATGTGGGCTGACATCGGTAAAGTCTAGACTATCACTGTTGCAAGCCAAGGGCTATTTGTGAGTTACCAGTGATGAAAGGCATCCGCTGCATAGTAATCTGTAAGATCTGAAAGGAGGCTGGTTGAAAAGAGGATAGATAAATACACTGGGCTAGATGATGCAATAGTTTACACTGATGGTTCTGTTCAACTGAGTGCAAAATCTGGCCAGGGATTTTCAGCTAGAATGAAGGAAAAGATCATGACAGAACAGAATGGAGCTTATTTTAAAATCTACTTCAAGCATGAGGATGGAGGTGGGGGCAAAAATTGCAGCTCTGAGAAGGAAAGAAAATGTATTACATGCATCAGTTCATCAACAGTGCAGTAGGTTCTACATGGACAAATGTGGCATGAGTGGGTACATGCATCAGTTCATCACTGCAGTAGGTTCAACAGGGACAAATGTGGCATGAGTAGGTACATTCATCAGTTCATCAACACTGCAGTAGGTTCAACAGGGACAAATGTGGCATGAGTGGGTACATGCATCAGTTCATCAACACTGCAGTAGGTTCAACATGGACAAATGTGGCATGAGTAGGTACATGCATCAGTTCATCAACACTGCAGTAGGTTCAACAGGGACAAATGTGGCATGAGTAGGTACATGCATCAGTTCATCAACACTGCAGTAGGTTCAACAGGGACAAATGTGACATGAGTGGGTACATGCATCAGTTCATCAACACTGCAATAGGTTCAACATGGACAAATGTGACATGAGTGGGTACTTGCATCAGTTCATCAACACTGCAGTAGGTTCAACAGGGACAAATGTGACATGAGTAGGTACATGCATCAGTTCATCAACACTGCAGTAGGTTCAACAGGGACAAATGTGACATGAGTGGGTACTTGCATCAGTTCATCAACACTGCAATAGGTTCAACATGGACAAATGTGACATGAGTGGGTACATGCATCAGTTCATCAACAGTGCAGTAGGTTCAACAGAGACAAATGTGACATGAGTGGGTACTTGCATCAGTTCATCAACACTGCAGTAGGTTCAACAGAGACAAATGTGACATGAGTGGGTACATGCATCAGTTCATCAACACTGCAGTAGGTTCAACATGGACAAATGTGACATGAGTGGGTACTTGCATCAGTTCATCAACACTGCAATAGGTTCAACATGGACAAATGTGACATGAGTGGGTACATGCATCAGTTCATCAACACTGCAGTAGGTTCAACAGAGACAAATGTGACATGAGTGGGTACTTGCATCAGTTCATCAACACTGCAGGAAATCACGTGGATATTCTCTCTGGAAGATGCAGGAGTAAGATTTTCTAGCCACAAAAGTAATAACTACGGGAACCCTTGTCCAGGACAAGGAAGATATTGTGTTAAAATCATGTACAAAAATTTTTTTGATAGAAGACACGAGCCTAGATGAAATAACATGTGCAAGTATGTGTGAACAAAGAATTAGGGGTGGATCCGCCAAGGATAGACATTGGAAAGAAAGACAAGGAAGACAACGACGTGTATAATCAGTGTGCTGCAGGAACAGTCAACATCTACACCTGAAGACATTTGCTGCAGGAACAGTCAACATCTACACCTGAAGCCATCTGCTGCAGGAACAGTCAACATCTACACCTGAAGACATTTGCTGCAGGAACAGTCAACATCTACACCTGAAGACATTTGCTGCAGGAACAATGAACATCTACACCTGAAGACATCTGCTGCAGGAACAATGAACATCTACACCTGAAGACATTTGCTGCAGGAACAATGAACATCTTCACCTGAAGACATTTGCTGCAGGAACAGTCAACATCTTCACCTGAAGACATTTGCTGCAGGAACAGTCAACATCTTCACCTGAAGACATTTGCTGCAGGAACAATGAACATCTTCACCTGAAGACATTTGCTGCAGGAACAGTCAACATCTTCACCTGAAGACATTTGCTGCAGGAACAATGAACATCTACACCTAAAGACATTTGCTGCAAGAACAGTCAACATCTACACCTAAAGACATTTGCTGCAAGAACAGTCAACATCTACACCTAAAGACATTTGCTGCAGGAACAATTAACATCTACACCTGAAGACATTTGCTGTAGGAACAGTCAACATCTACACCTGAAGACATTTGCTGTAGGAACAGTCAACATCTACACCTGAAGACATTTGCTGTAGGAACAATGAACATCCACACCTGAAGACATCTGCTGCAGGAACAGTCAACATATACACCTGAAGACATTTGCTGCAGGAGACAGAGCATCCGATATCAGATTCTTGCTAACCGACATTTATGAAGCAAACATTTTGTATTCTTCACCTCAAGATAAGATGATGTGGTGAATCGGGAAAGTCAGCAAATACCTGCAGAAATTGGACTCAACTCAGAAGGTGGGCAACGAAAATAAATACTTCCAGTCTACAAATGGAGCAAAAAAGCAACGGCCACAGTCTGGCAGAAGCAAAAATTTATGTCTCGGCTCAAAACAGTGGCAGTGCCTAGTGTTCATTTGAACCTGAAGCATTATGTGAGGGTTAATAAACTGTCACCCCAGCAGTACCCTGCTATTAGCTGGGGAAGGGATTTAGGACATTACATCCACCAGCAAGCGTCGCCCCAACAACGACCTGACTGCCTTCGTTAACGACTGTTCACCCAACAGCCATGCAGTTCTTTGGCATGAAGGAGACACCTTGAACTTGGGTTTCGGACTGCCGACTCCCTACACGAAGATATATGTGTGCTACTGGTGTTCCGTAGCCAAAATACCATCTCACTGTATTACTAAAATTCAGCACGCATACACAAACGGGCAGTAGTTTAAAAAAACAAAACAAACACACACATATACATACACTCATTACCTGCCACCCGCTTGCTTGCTGGTGCAGCACACATGACTATATATATATATATATATATATATATATATATATATATATATATATATATATATATATATATATATATATATATATATATATATATATATATATATATATATATATACACACACACACACGCACGCACACACACAGATATATATATATATATATCACACCGCATAGCTAATTACAGCAAAAGTAGTCTTCTGTTTCGATATCCAAACGTGCTTGTTGTCATCGGAGGGTCGGGTTTTTGTTAATTTGGTCTCGTCAACTGACATTGGCACATTTATATGACCTTTATGTTTGCCTTGCCAGGACACACAATATGATATGTATTAAGCCAGGCTCGTGGGCAGACAACTGTAAATGTATCAGGTTTTTGATGAGAAATAATCAGCCAGCGGACATTTTTATATGTTAAATAGGCGCATATCGTAGTGTATGTAATTAAGACATGCATAAACGGTTCGGTCTCATTGTCCCGATTCTAGCAATATATGGTTGCTAAGGGATTCGTTCAGAATCAGAAAAGTTATGGCCGTAACATGCAAACATTGAGTCATTTCATTTCACTGGGTCGCAGCCGGGAATCCATGGATACTACAATCATTTTTTAAATCTTTTTATTTCCCAATAGCTGTTGTTTTCTGGAGAAGCTGTGGCAAATGTATAATCACATCAAAATCCCACGGTATATTAATCATCCATGCTGTCTCTGTTATTAGTGTATGCCTAGACTTTTGTCGTGTTTACTCCTACACAACAAGAGAGAAGCAGTGAAATGTATATGAAAACAACACTGTATAACAATGATCCTTGTTGTACTCTTCCACCTGCCAGATGGATGTTTGATATGCATGTCGCCAGGCTCACTGGTGGATAACCATACAGGTATAATGTTTTGCTTGAAAATAGTGAGCTGGCGGCCATTTCCATATGTTAATTAGGTGCATAATGTATTATATGTTTTTAAAACATGCATATACAGTTAGGTCTAACTGTCCCACTTCCAGCAATATGTGGTTGCTAAGGGATTCGTTCAGAAACAAAAAAGTTATGGCTGAAAATCAAACATTGAGTCATTTCATCTCACTGGGTCGCAGCCGGGAAGCCATGTTTTATTCATTTCCACTACAATTATTCTGTCGTGTCCGCCACTAAAATGTTAATATCTCCGCTTAGAATCGACTTACAGGCTTAAATGAGGTACCATTGGATTTTTAATTTTAATCTTTATCTAGCTGTTATGATTTTGTAAGTAAAAACCCAAAATATAAAACTTCACTAGCATCCCTAGCATTACTATTCATGCTGACTCCAGTGCAGGGTACCTTTTCTGAGTGTTGATATGTTTATTTGCTGCACTAGGTCTTGTTACTGCTGCTCATTTTTATGTCTAAATAAACTTCGATACAGATGAATATAATAGATAAGGCTTTTATTCTTTCTGACAGGATCGTGATAAAGCAAGGATACTTCATGAGAGTGCTGGGCTTCAGTTCTTTGAGTGTTATGTAGACACACCTTTAGAGATCTGTGAGCAGAGAGATGTCAAGGGCCTGTACAAGAAGGCCAGAGCTGGTCTCATCAAAGGTACACATTCTTGTCACCAAGTTTTTCTCTATCCAGATTTGCCTAATTTTTTAATATTTTTGATATTGTAACCAACTGTAAATTGTTCCTACAATCATTAGTTTATAGGTTCCATCCCTAGTGTGAAATCTGTAGAAGACTTTGTTTCCATACCATTGAGCCTGTGAACTTTGTAAACTATTATATAGTGTGGTCTATATTTGAAGATTTGTTAAATATGACATTGTTGTAAGGGGACTGTACCCACACACAAATTGTAAGAGAGACATTATGGTCGTGTCCCATCCTTTAGGATCACAGGAGAGAGCTTGCCCTTATCAATTGTATCTGCTGAATGAAGATAGTCATCTCTTTTACCTGGTGCAAGGATTATTCATTATTTTAGGAGATTTTTTCTCAGCCAATGCTTCTCAAGACAGATTAAACCATAAACTGACAAGACAAATTAGCCATAAATTATAATCAGTGTTTTCAGATCAGTATTTTCGGTCAGAAAGAATGGACTCGGGAACTTTGCAATGACTGGCAAGATTTATGGAAATCAGAAATAATTAACCCTTTCGCTGCTGCGCCCTCCGGCCAGCCAACGTAACCACTGTGCTAAGCCAGGCGAGAGCTAATCTTTCCCCCTGTGCTGAATACCGTTTTTTTCCTTCAAAAGCAGAAGACGCGCTTGCGGCACGAGGTAAAAATTGTATACTTAAAATAAAAAATCGTTAAGGCGTGTGGTTGAACTTTGCGCTGACAAGTCAGACGCGTTATTTCTACGCCATGAAAACTCATTAACAAAAAGAAAACACTACAAGCTTACAAAGCAAACACAAAACACTTTAGTAAGCAAATACATGGTTTTTATTATTATTAATAATATCTTTGTGTGTGAAATATTTCAAAACAAGGGGAGACACACAATGCCAAATCACATTCCTTGCACATGTATCTGGTTTCCCGTCGTTTTTTGCTTTTTGCGTATACCACACACTTTCTTGTTGGGAATTTTTTCTGCGATGTTATAGACTCTATTATTGAAGGGGAATGCCTTTGTACTAAACGAAGTGGCAGATCTTCACTTTTTTTACCTCCTACACTTTTTGTCTTTTCCTTGCAATATTTCTGTAGAATTTCTCTTACTAACATTCAGTGAAATTCGGCAACAGGTGTGTTTTTCCCCCCAAAAACAACTTTATATAATGAATGTGCACAGTACACCAACCACGCTTCACAAAGGAACAGGATAATGTGTAAAGCATCTAAATCCACCTGAACGCACGTGACAGGATGTTTAATTAATTATTACTTCGGTGATCTGTTGCCAAAAATGCTAAGAGCTTAAATTTAAAATTTGCATTTAAAATATTTAATTTAAAAAAACAAACGGCACGTAAGGGTTGAACGCTGGACCTTTCGATTGTAAGGCAGACGTGATAACAACTACACTAGAAATTCACATGAAACTATGAACTGAAAAAAAAGACTAGTATTGTACACTTTAATAGACAAACACATTTATGTCAGTTGTATAGTATATTATTAACATTAATATTAATCGTCATGTCAGTACGTGACCAAATCTTTATTTAGATTATTTTGGATCCGTTTCAAATCCAGTGGATGTAGATAGCTGGGTTATATGGTTACTGGTCAGTCTTGCCCATGGCCAGAAGTACACGTGTCCGCCGGCGTGCCGCGAAGATAACCCAGCTCATATAGCTCACACGTTTCAAAGTGATCCTTACTATTACTCCTTGAAAGAAACTCCATTAATTCTTCTTTATTTAAACAAATGTTCTTGTTATTTTGTATATAAAAAAAAATTTAGACTAACGCAAAACCAGAAATATATTTCAGAGCAAAAATATTACCGTTCACCAACAATGCTTCTATGGTAACAAAGCAACAGGATAAAGCAAAATGCAACTAAATACGCCTAAACTCACGTGATAAGGGTTTTAATTGTATGTAAACGGGTCAGTTTGATCAGATTAAGGTAATGTGTATTGCTATTTCACCCCTAAGAATTACTGTTCTTAGCTATCTGTAAAAAAATGTCGAGGACGAGTTATCTCGTCCTTAGCAGTGAGGGCACAGAAAATGGCAGACGAGTTATCTAGTCTTTAGCAGTCTGCCGGGCAGACGAGTTATCTCGTCCATAGCAGCGAAAGGGTTAAATATTGAAGAAAGCTGAGATTTCATTAGAAAACAACAAGTGAAATAATAATTTGAATGCCAACAGACAGAATACCACATCCTTTAAAAAAAAAAAAAATTATTTCTGGGAAATCCCACGGGTTAACCCACTGACTAACATAATAGCACATTATGCAATGTTTACGCCCGGCTACCACGATTGTAACTTGAGACACTCACCACCATGGTAAAATCAGGCTGTTTGCGGTGAATTTGGTTGAAGCTTTTAGCTCATTGATTTCTCTGTTATTTTAAGGAAATAACCCCTTAATGCTTATAGTAAATTTTTGAAACATTTTTAGTGTGAGCTCTGGTGTTGCTAACACATTGATGCCATTCTGGTCATAGCCTGAAATTCTCAAAGAGATCATTATGGTCATATTTATTTATTTCTTAAAATCTATTCATGATTTTCATGTTTTTATTTTTCTTTGGAAAGTGAAATAGAAGATATTACTATGACTCTGACTTTGAAAAATCTAACGAAAGTGCAATCAATAACATCATCGACAGTGAAACAACGGTATGTCATTTCAAAGTCAAGTCTAGCTAAAATTTGATCGTTAGGGTCATGGCTGGCTATGACCTAGTTAAAGGGTGCATATATAATATATCAGATGTCAACAAATCACTATATACAGGGTTCGTAGTGGACCGGGAAATCGGGAAATTACCGGGATTTTTTTCGTTGACCTTGAATTGTGATTTTTAGCTTATAAAAGACATTCCGACCTTGAAAAACCGTGAATTTTGACCGCCGCAATGAAATCGTCAGAAATCCTGTGATTTTCAGCACAGGCAATTTTTGGGGAGCCCTTTGGCTTTTTTGGCCTTTTGGCTACTTTCGTTCTTTGGTCGTTTCAGGTGTGAGGGCAGCTGATTATTGGCTATTTTCAGCCGAAATGGCTTGTTAAAGGCCAGGGAAACGCGGGCTGTGTCATGAATACATGCAGACAGCAGCGGTGTGGCATGGGGCGGGAAGTGGCCGCTTCCGTCTCACGCGTGTGTGTGCCTTTGTTTCTAGCGAGTCAGGCAGAATGAACAGTTTAAATCGTTTATGGCCGTGATTTCTAGAAAGTATTACATTGGGAGATGGTGGGGCTCGGTTCAGTTGTATTTATAAATAGAGTCGCCGTGGTGGGGGCTAAGCACGGCCTTCTCTATTAATTAGAGATGGCATTGGGGCTAAGCAAAGTGACTGCAGCTGGATTTCCCAGTTCTATTTTTGGCCTGGATTTATCTTTACAGTGTGTTTGGCGATCAGTATTGTAATTCCCCGAGATTCCCTCTTCTGTTGTCTCACCCCTCTCTCTCTCTCTCTCTCTCTCTCTCTCTCTCTCTCTCTCTCTCTCTCTCTCTCTCTCTCTCTTCCCTCCCTCTTTCACTCTTCTACCTATTGCTCCTTTCTTCCCGTCTCCTGCATTGTCTCTAACCCTCCCTTCTGATCTTCATCTTCTTCTCTTTCTCTCTATCTTTCCTTTTACTCTCTCATTTCCTGTCCCCCTCCCCCTTTTTCCTATTTTATTTCTTGTTTAAATGTTTAGTAAATGTGCGGCTCCATAACTCTTCCTAGCAACTCAAGTACACAGGAAGTTGTATTGGGGGGGGGGGGGGGGGGGGAGGAGGGTTGTTCTGCGTGAACATGGTGGATATTTTCTTTTGATGTGGTTGTTTTCTTAGCGGGCCTTAATCTCTGTCCATCTCCCTTCCCGCCCCCTCACATTTTGTCCTACCTGTTCCTCACTCTCTGCCTGTCTGTGTCACTGCTTTCATCTCTCTCTTTGTATTTGCCGCTCTATCTCACTCCCTCTCTCTCCTCTCTCTCTCTCTCTCTCTCCTCTCTCTCTCTCTCTCTCTTTGTACCTTCAGTTGGAGTAGAAGGTTATGTGTTGCCTAGTGCAGAACATTTCAAGTCCACCACTCCCCTTCCCTCACACACACATTAAATATACGTGTACTTTTAAAAACACATTTGCCGTCACCCCCCCACCCCTTCTCCTCCCACATTGATGACACCTAGGGGAGGGAGTGCACCCCTTCCTGCTACCTTCTTCCCTCTATATCTCATCTTATTTCTTACTCCCTTCTTTCCCTCCCTGTCTCATTCCCACTTTATTTTCTTAAACTTTATTCTCTCACCTCCTCTGTCTCACCCTTAACACCTCAGCCTTCTACACCACTTTCCACCACCTCCTCTCTCCCCTCCTTTCTGTAATTGGAAAACCAGAAATAGAACGAAGTCCACTGCTGCCCTGACCTATTTATGTGTGTGGGTAAACTTGGGATCCCCTGGACTTTTTTTTTCTTTATAAAATGACCTTGGCTCTCAGGTCACCAGCCTTAAGTGTAAGAAATTGAATTATTGTTGTCACACACAGATAGGACAAGCATGGGGCAGTAGGGGTTAGCACTGTTGTTTATGGACCACAGCCACATTCACATTGGGAGAGGGTAGGAACTGGAAAAGTGGCCTCACTTAAAGATTTCCTTATTCTATTTTTGGCACTCAGTGTTCTTACCTCTCTTCTCTCACCCCTTCTCTTTCCTTTGATCTTCTACTATTCTCCTTTCTTTCTCCATTCTTCCTCTCTTCCTTTCTCCTGTCCCATCTCTTCTTTGTCTCCTCTCCATCCTGTCTTTTCATTTTCTCTAGATTTCCTTACCCGCGCCCCTCTCTCATTCTCCCCTCCCCCCCCCCCCATTTATTTCTGGTTCATCTACATATCTTTTTTGCCCCATAACTATCTTTTCCTAGTGGTTGTGTCCACTACACTTGAAATTGTGGGGGAGGGGGGGGGGTTTTCAGCACGAGGCTGTTTTTTTTTTTATGTATCTTGTCTCCCTTCCTGCCCCTCTCTTAATCTGTGTTTGTCACTGCCTTCCTTACCCACCTCTCTCTCTCTCTCTCTCTCTCTCTCTCTCTCTTGCTTTATGTCTGTTTGCCTCCCTTCATCACTTCCTCTTTGTATACCTCCCTCCCATTCTCCTGCTCTGCCTTTTTTCTATTTCTTTGGTTCTCTCCCTCTGTCTGCTTGCCTCTATGTGCTGTCCCTTTGTCTCTCTCTCCTTTCTGTCTAGATCTCTCTCTGCTTGCATCTGCTTCTCTCCCTGTCCGTTCTCTCTCCCTCTGTCTCCCTTCTTTCAACTCTTTGTAATATTTTCCTCCTTCCATATCTCTGTTTCGTTCCCTTTTTCCTTCTCTTTTCATCTGCCCATCTCTGTATCTGCATTTCCTCTTTCTGTATTTGTCTCCCTCTCTGTCTTTCGCTGTCCCTTCCCCACTTTTCCTCATCATGTCTCCATCCCTCCCTCTCATTTTCTTCCTCCTTCCCCAGACTTCTTTTCCTTCTTTTCTCTACCTTCATCTGTCCATCTTTACACTATCTCTCCCAGCCTACCTCAGCATGTGTCTTCCTGCCTATCTGCATGACTCTCTCTCTCTCTCCCTCTAACCCTTACTTTCAGGTACCAGGTCCAGAGCAGACAGGATTTCAGTTTGCTGCCCTCTACCACCAAGCCCTAAAAAAAAATTGCAAACAGTATATCAAGCTCAGGGGCCGACCAACACGAAGATGGGCACAGGATTTTAGTGACTCCTTGAGTATAAAAAAGTACATGAGACGGGAGAGCTGGTGAGAGACCGAGGTTTTTTTGTCAGGACAAAGGAAATACTACATGATGATGATATATGTGCTGGTATACCAACACATGTGGCACGAATGAAGTACATTGTGTGCTCAGTTCACCCTTGAACAAGGCAAAAATCTTGTTTCAGTATTACACCGAAACAACCTTGAAAAAAACTAAGGAGACCTTGAAAAAGGCCTGAAATTGATTTGGTAAGCTATGAAACCTGTATATATATATATATATATATATATAAGATGTCAACAAATCACACATATATATTATAATATAAGATGTGAAACAAATATCACAATATATATATATATATATCGATATATATATATATATAATATATATATATATATATATATAATATATAATATGATATATATATAAATCAGATGTGAACACATCACATTTTATATATATATATATATATATATAATAATATATAATAAATATAGATATATATATAATATATATATATATATATATATATATATATATATATATATCTATATATATATATATATATATATATATATAATAATATCAGATGTGAACAAATCACAATATAAAATGGATACGACAAGTCCAAGCTGTCTGGAACCCATTGAGGGAGTGTGAGGAGAGAAGTGTCTTCAGCCTGTATGTAATCTGGTAATCTTAGTTTCAGCTTCATAGCAAATGGGTCGCCCCATAGTTGCTCCGCTCCTGTGCCAACGAAAACACAAAATGTTTATCACAGTTCAAATGAAATTTGCAGCTCACAGTGTCACGCAATGCACTCAGGTCAGAAGCTAGACAATGAAACTATATCCTTCCAGTCTACAAATGGAGCAAAAATGCAACAGCCACCGTCTGGCCGAAGCTAAAAAATTTGCCTAGCGTCCATTTTGACCTGAAGAATTATGTGAGGGTTAATGAACGGTCACCCCAGCAGTACCCTCACTATTAGCTGGGGAAGGGACTTATATATTACATCCACGAGCAAGCGTCGCTCTTACAACGACGTAACCGCCTTCGTTAATGACTGTTTACCCAACAGCCATGCAGTTCTTTGGCACGAAGGAGACACCTTGAACTTGGGTTTCGGACTGCCGACTCCCTACAAGATGTTATGTTATTTACTGTTATCACAGTCAACGTTACTGCACATTGGGCATTCCCATGCGTGTTCAGTCCTCTGATGCAGCAGCCACTCCAAAGTACTTCTATTAATTGTTCCCATGAGAAGCTGGTTATATTGTCTCCTATCTCGGCCTCGAAGACGACATAGATGTGCTTCACCAAGCTTAACTCCCTTGTCACGCAATCTTGTTAGTGTCATACTTCCTCATTTTCCACTTGCCCAGTTTGTACAGCGTTGACTATATCTGCTCTGTCCATGCTTTTTCCCGCAATCATCAGTGCAGTGCTTGCCAGTTGGTCTGCTCGTTCATTTTCCTTTATGCCCGCATGACCCGGTGTGTAGATCCAGATTACGGAGGTTAAGTGCGATTTCCAAATGCTTTCTATCCATTCAGAGCGCATACTGCCTGTTGCTATCTTCAGAAGCATATTCATGGAGTCTGATACAATTACTGCTTGTGTGGCGGTTTGCTCGGATACCCATGCTAAAGCTCCAGAAGCAGTGGCTATTTCCATGGTCATGCTTGACATGGTTGTCTAGTAAGCGCCGCTGTCCTGTATTGTTTTCCCCCTTTTGTTTGCGGCCTGTAGGTGCATAGATGATGCATCTATGATGCAGAAATACAAAATATAATAAGTGTATGATAATAACTGTGAAGCTATGTCATTTCAATACACACTAATATATGTGGTATCTGGGAAAGTATAAGGGCTAACAGGCAAGGTAGTCAATATGTTAAATGGCAAAAGGGAAATCTTTAACAGGTGCAGTAGCTGTCTAGTCTGACGTATACTTGTCATGTTTTGTAGTGCAGTTATCTGTCCTTGGTCCATCAACATCATCATGTAGCAGGTCCTTTGCTGAACATAATATTAAGATATCAAGCTGTACAAAAACTGACATAGTCAGTTTTAAATTATTACAAAAGTAAACAACAGATATATATTTCAGCTAGGTAGCCTTCATCAGCACATTACATGAATATATGATACCACAAAATACAAAGAAGAATACACAAAATTACTTATCTGAAATATCTCTGAAAAATTACATTTCTGTCTGATCAGTTGAATCTTTAACACACAGGTTGCCACTGGAAATATATACTGCCAGAAAAAAGCTGTGAACGGCAAGGTCATTAACTAAAAAAATGGAAACAAATATTAGATGCAGCTGTGTTTGATGTGAAATCCTCTAGGCTAATTGCACCCTATTAGATTAATAAATTCATTGTAGAGATACTTGAGAGCTCTTTCACTGGAATGACTAGACTTGATGGCCCTTTGTGACCCTGGGAATTGAAATACTGGTTTGAGGGCTGCGTACATCAGAAGCATGTTGCCTGAACCTGTCAGTTGGTCGTTGCATTGTTTTACCCATGTATTTCCTACCACATCTTTTGCAGATAATGGTGTAAATTACATTGAGGCTTCTGTATTAAAAAGCCTTACATATGTGAAGAGTGGTATTAGGGAATGCCAGACACTGCCTGAACCACATGTGGACAAATCTTGCATACAGGTCTATGACGAGAGACCGTGCCTAAGTGGTTCTTGGGATACTTACGACCTCTGTCATTGGAGTGGCTAGACTTGATGGCCTCTATGTTGAGAATACCTTTGTGACCCTGGGACTTGAAATGCCTGAACCACCTATGGACAAATCTTGCATACAGCACTGTGACAAGAGACAGTGCCTAAGTGGGTCTCGAAGGCAGAATATAACCGACTCTTGACTAGATCGTCCCTGAGGTTACATCACTCTCATCATGGTCGTCATCATGGTCTGTCCGACAGAAAAACACATATTTCAGGATGTCAGTATTTCGTGTCTTCTTAGTCCATGTTTTTAAGATAATCTTTCTTTGACATTTCAGGTCAAAAAACCCCCATTCTCTCCCCCCTCCTCCTCCTCCCAAGTGACCTTGAGATACTCCATGACTCACAAAATCAAATCTTGGGATGTAAGATTGTTTCCCCTTTTTGGTCCGTGTGGGTTCTGCGGTCTTATTGTGGAGACAACAAGAATAGACCCACGGCCTCACCAACAAATATGTCGTAAGAGTTGACTAATTGGGGGTTTCCTTGGAATTTGTAGTGCATTTGCCGGAGAGGCAAGGAACCTACAATCAGCTTTTCGAATAAGTCAAATCTGTAAAATGGATGTGCACGCAACACTCAGGTTCTGGAACAAGAATGAGTTTTCCCTTTTTAATGTTGTATGGTTGTTATGTGGTTGTTGTATGGTTGTTATGTGGTTGTTGTATGGTTGTTATGTGGTTGTTGTATGGTTGTTATGTGGTTGTTGTATGGTTGTTATGTGGTATTGTGTCTGGAAATTGGTGTTTATGTTGAGGTTTGCTGTATCCAGGGCACTTGACCTGATTGTAGTGCTGATTCTGTGTTTATGTTGAGGTCTGCAGCATCCAGGGCACTTGACCTGATTGTAGTGCTGATTCTGTGTTTATGTTGAGGTTTGCTGTATCCAGGGCACTTGACCTGATTGTAGTGCTGATTCTGTGTTTATGTTGAGGTCTGCAGCATCCAGGGCACTTGACCTGACTGTAGTGCTGATTCTGTGTTTATGTTGAGGTTTGCTGTATCCAGGGCACTTGACCTGATTGTAGTGCTGATTCTGTGTTTATGTTGAGGTCTGCAGTATCCAGGGCACATGGCCTGCTTGACCTGATTGTAGTGCTGATTCTGTGTTCAATCAGAAATTTTCCTGTTCTGTTAGAATCACATGATTTCATTGTATGATTAGTTTTAAATTGAAAAAAATGTATTAATATTCAATTACCTTGTCTTGCCTATTGTTAAGTTACAGACTGTGTTGTAATATTTACAAGAGGTTTGCTAATTTGAAATGTATTTGTGTAATTGTTAGGCTTCACTGGTGTTGATCAAGCCTATGAAGCACCAACTGCTCCTGATGTTGATCTAAAAGCTGGGGAACTCTCTGTTGATGAATGTGTGCAGAAGGTTGTCTCACTGCTTGCACAGCATGTGAGTACAACAATGATACATTGTTTTTATGTACTGTTGACATTGGGAAAGCACTGATTGAAAGTCTGTTATCTTTCAGTAAGTGTTACTTCACATATCATGAATAACACCCAAAAGTTGCCATGGCAGGTACACCAGTCATGGACAGTTTATCACAGAAGTCACACAGTTTTGAAACTTCCAACTCCAGTCATGCGCTTGCTTCACTGACAGGTATGCATGACCATACTGGACCTTCATTAGCTAATGAATTTCTAGAGGTTTCACCCCTTCCAAGGAAAAGAAAAGTAGACAACAGAATGCTGCTCTTCTTTGATTCATATTAAAGGTGGGGTGGCCATCTTTAGACTGTCATTATGACATCACCATGTTCATCTGCACCATGATGTCATATGCTTAACTCTGGCCATCTTTAGACTGTCATTATGACATCACCATGTTCATCTGCACCATGATGTCATATGCTTAACTCTGGCCATCTTTAGACTGTCATTATGACATCACCATGTTCATCTGCACCATGATGTCATATGCTTAACTCTGGCTGCGCTTGAGCTTTATCGTTTGTTCGGCGTAGGATGTATTACCGTCCGGTGTTAACATGGTTAAGTGGTCAGCGACCAACGATCCGACTTGCCCGTTGTGTAAAGCGAAGCAGACGCTAGAACACGCCCTGTCCGCGTGCAGGAAAGCCCTAGGCTAGGCCGATATACCTGGCGACACAACAAGGTGCTAAAAGAGTTAGCAGGCGTTGTCGACCAGGCTAGAATGAGGGCTAACGCCAGAGCCAGTTCTACTATCGTCCCCATACGCTTCCTCAAGGCTGGGCAGGTTCAAAAAGGTAAGGTCAACCGAAACGCATTCGCTCCATCTGTGCTAGACTCTGCGAGTGACTGGTAACTGGCAGTTGATCTGCCGCGCCATGATAGGTACCCTGAGTTGATCCGGAAGACCAGTCTGCGACCTGACATAGTCCTCCACTCTGCGGAGAAACGGCAGCTCATCCTGATTAAGCTCACCGTCCCGTATGAGTCGCGTATGGATGAAAATCACCTGTATAAGCTCGAGAAATACAGTGATTTAGCAGCCGGTCTGAGGAGAAACGAGGCGTACACAGTACGGGTCTTTGCCGTCGAAGTGGGAGCGAAAGGCCTCGTTTCCACTTCACTGTACAATGTGGTGAAAGAACTAGGATTGCGCGGTAATGAACGGAAACGAACACTTAAAAAACTGAGCGAGGCAGCCGAAAGGGCCTCGAATTGGCTTTGGACGCAACGCAACAACGTAGGGGACGGGCCTCGGTGAGCTGGTCCGGGTGTCTAGTGGAAAAGGGTTTCTCACCTCTTGAAAGTCCATCGTGTCCGAATTGTCTGCCAGTGATCCTCTGCCACCTGCTAATAAAAGTCCAACATGTGTCCGGTAAACCAATCGTAAGCTTGTCGCTCAGTCGTCCAGGTATGCTGACTGCTCTAATTAGGCTGCCGCGACGACTTCTTATCTCACAGTACCTTCTGCAACCACCAAGTCGTCTTGTTCCTATCCGAAAGAAAACACCATCCGGTAATCTCGTGCAGCAGGGTACCAGCCCTGAGCTTCATGAACTCAGGTGGGCCCACCTCCGAAAGCGTCTAGGAATCGTGGGCCGAAACACTTGTTGACGAGGATAATTTCTACTGACGACTGGTAGATCCCTGCTGTACTTGCTCCCTGTGAGTTTATTCCTTCTATGGCTATCTTTAGAGTGCCATAATGACATCACCATGTTCATCTGCACCATGATGTCATATGCTTAACTCTGGCCATCTTTAAACTGTCATTATGACATCACCATGTTCATCTGCACTGTAATGTCATATGCTTAACTCTGGCCATCTTTAAACTGTCATTATGACATCACCATGTTCATCTGCACCTTGATATCATTTGCTTAACTCTGGCGCCATCTTTAGACTGTCATTATGGCATTACCATGTTCATCTGCACTGTGATGTCATATGACATCCTTAACAACAATATTGACAGGTTACATACAAGACAATGACATGGCCTAATTTCTTTAACAACAATATTGACAAGTTACATACAAGACAGTGACATGGCCTAATTTCTTTAACAACAATATTGACAAGTTACATACAAGACAATGACATGGCTGAATTTCTTTAACAACAATATTGACAAGTTACATACAAGACAGTGACATGGCCTAATTTCTTTAACAACAATATTGACAGGTTACATACAAGACAGTGACATGGCCTAATTTCTTTAACAACAATATTGACAGGTTACATACAAGACAGTGACATGGCCTAATTTCTTTAACAACAATATTGACAGATTACATACAAGACAATGACATGGCCTAATTTCTTTAACAACAATATTGACAGATTACATACAAGACAGTGACATGGCCTAATTTCTTTAACAACAATATTGACAGATTACATACAAGACAGACATGGCCTAGTTTACAACAATATTGACAAGTTACATACACAAGACATGACATGGCCTAATTTTTAACTTTACAACAATACAAGACAGTGACATGGCCTAATTTCAACAACAATATTGACAAGTTACATACAAGACAGTGACATGGCCTAATTTCTTTAACAACAATATTGACAGGTTACATACAAGACAATGACATGGCCTAATTTCTTTAACAACAATATTGACAGGTTACATACAAGACAATGACATGGCCTAATTTCTTTAACAACAATATTGACAGGTTACATACAAGACAATGACATGGCCTAATTTCTTTAACAACAATATTGACAAGTTACATACAAGACAGTGACATGGCTGAATTTCTTTAACAACAATATTGACAGGTTACATACAAGACAGACATGGCCTAATTTCTTTAACAACAATATTGACAATACACATGGACATGGCTAATTTCTTTAACAACAATATTGACAGGTTACATACAAGACAATGACATGGCCTAATTTCTTTAACAACAATATTGACAGGTTACATACAAGACAGTGACATGGCCTAATTTCTTTAACAACAATATTGACAGGTTACATACAAGACAATGACATGGCCTAATTTCTTTAACAACAATATTGACAGGTTACATACAAGACAATGACATGGCCTAATTTCTTTAACAACAATATTGACAGGTTACATACAAGACAGTGACATACAAGCCTAATTTCTTTAACAACAATATTGACAGGTTACATACAAGACAACATGGCCTAATTTCTTTAACAACAATATTGACAGGTTACATGACATGGCCTAATTTCTTTAACAACAATATTGACAGATTACACACAAGACAGTGACATGGCCTAATTTCTTTAACAACAATATTGACAGGTTACATACAAGACAATGACATACATGGCCTAATTTCTTTAACAACAATATTGACAAGTTACATACAAGACAGTGACATGGCCTAATTTCTTTAACAACAATATTGACAGGTTACATACAAGACAATGACATGGCCTAATTTCTTTAACAACAATATTGACAAGTTACATACAAGACAATGACATGGCCTAATTTCTTTAACAACAATATTGACAGGTTACATACAAGACAGTGACATGGCCTAATTTCTTTAACAACAATATTGACAGGTTACATACAAGACAGTGACATGGCCTAATTTTTTTAACAACAATATTGACAGGTTACATACAAGACAGTGACTTGGCCTAATTTCTTTAACAACAATATTGACAAGTTACATACAAGACAGTGACATGGCTGAATTTCTTTAACAACAATATTGACAAGTTACATACAAGACAGTGACATGGCCTAATTTCTTTAACAACAATATTGACAAGTTACATACAAGACAGTGACATGGCTGAATTTCTTTAACAACAATATTGACAAGTTACATACAAGACAGTGACATGGCCTAATTTCTTTAACAACAATATTGACAGGTTACATACAAGACAATGACATGGCCTAATTTCTTTAACAACAATATTGACAAGTTACATACAAGACAGTGACATGGCCTAATTTCTTTAACAACAATATTGACAGGTTACATACAAGACAATGACATGGCCTAATTTCTTTAACAACAATATTGACAAGTTACATACAAGACAGTGACATGGCTGAGTTTCTTTAACAACAATATTGACAGGTTACATACAAGACAATGACATGGCCTAATTTCTTTAACAACAATATTGACAAGTTACATACAAGACAATGACATGGCCTAATTTCTTTAACAACAATATTGACAGGTTACATACAAGACAGTGACATGGCCTAATTTCTTTAACAACAATATTGACAGGTTACATACAAGACAGTGACATGGCCTAATTTCTTTAACAACAATATTGACAGGTTACATACAAGACAGTGACATGGCTGAATTTCTTTAACAACAATATTGACAAGTTACATACAAGACAGTGACATGGCTGAATTTCTTTAACAACAATATTGACAAGTTACATACAAGACAGTGACATGGCCTAATTTCTTTAACAACAATATTGACAAGTTACATACAAGACAGTGACATGGCTGAATTTCTTTAACAACAATATTGACAAGTTACATACAAGACAGTGACATGGCCTAATTTCTTTAACAACAATATTGACAGGTTACATACAAGACAATGACATGGCCTAATTTCTTTAACAACAATATTGACAAGTTACATACAAGACAGTGACATGGCCTAATTTCTTTAACAACAATATTGACAGGTTACATACAAGACAATGACATGGCCTAATTTCTTTAACAACAATATTGACAGATTACATACAAGACAGTGACATGGCTGAGTTTCTTTAACAACAATATTGACAAGTTACATACAAGACAATGACATGGCCTAATTTCTTTAACAACAATATTGACAGGTTACATACAAGACAGTGACATGGCCTAATTTCTTTAACAACAATATTGACAGGTTACATACAAGACAGTGACATGGCCTAATTTCTTTAACAACAATATTGACAGGTTACATACAAGACAGTGACATGGCCTAATTTCTTTAACAACAATATTGACAGCTTACATACAAGACAGTGACATGGCTGAATTTCTATCACACTGAAGGTTTTCATTTGAAGCCCCCTTATTTTTTCATTGATATTTCTATCATTCAAAGCTACTATAGTGAAATATTATTCAAATGTGTATCTTTTCAAATCACCTTTAACACTGCAGCTGTGAAAACTTGTATATGATTTAAGAATTGACATCATGGCATACGAGGCATACCCATAGATGCTCCATCTCGCTCTTAAGATGTTGAAGCTGACTATTCCAGTAGCACACTGATTGTCCACATGTCATACTTTTCTTTCATGTCTTTCTTACTTGCTTCACAAATTACAAATTTGCGCAACCCTACATCTGACCAAGGAAGGATATAAGTCTTTAAGGACTCTTTGACTTCTAAGATGTGCCCTGATTATTTATATTACACATTTTTGGGTCTGATTTCTCCCCTACCTTCTTTCTAAAACAGCCAAGGCGTCTGTGAACAACAAACAAGATACCCTTTTTTGTTTCAGTAGCTCAGTGATCTAAAAATACTAAAGAAAGGTTCAGTCACAAATTAAGACTTAGACAATAAGTTACATATATGAGTTACATATCCAGAAAAATATGTTCAGTTTTAAATCTGAAGTCAGTGCCCTGATCCTTCTTTGTCAAGTAGTTTGTATTTTTGATGTTACATTATCATCTGTCATCCCCTTGTGGAATGCAATTTTTAGTTACTTTGAAGCCCCACCCAAGCTTTTTGCCTTGGGCCCTAAATATTGCCGGGCCTTAAATATGACCTAACGGTTAAAGGGGGTTTCTGGGACCTCTCCACGGGTAATCCTCATCCGCATGGTGGCACTTTGTGTCACCAGGTGTTTATCGCTTGTGTGATGTCCTGTTGGGGGCTACAATACCTACTTACCTATCTTGATGACTAAACATGTCTGTGAACCTCTCTTATTTCAGCTTCATTGAATGTTGTCCTTATTAGTTGTACAGGTTTTTAGAAGCCTCTTGTGGTGCATCTTGATTGTTATTGGGGGTGCTCATTTGTGGATAGATAAACCACAAGACTTGAGATGCATCACAGCGATACAGAATAAAACAGCCTTTTATGTCATTTTAATGTTACAATTTGGATCTGAATCTTGGACAATAAGCAAAAAAATTACAAGATGCTTCAGTAATGTAATTTTACAGAAGAAAGCTGGAATATTCATGAAGCAGCCACAATTAATATTCTAAATGTTTTAAAAAGGCTAAGAACAAAGGCAGCTTGTAACAAACACTAGACAGAGATAGTTGACATTATGTAGGTTACATTGTGTTGAGAAAATACAAGGGAATATATTCTGAAACTTGCAAGTTTGGTAGTAAGAGAGATAGGGGAATGCTGCAAGAGACAATACTAGGCAATTAGTCAGTACAGTTGTACACAAACTGTTAAATGCTATTGAAGATTGGCACATGTGATGAAAGCATGATCAACCAGTTCAGTCAGAATGGCACTTGATGATGGTTGTATTTGTATATTAGTTTCTGTTGTTTTTAGACTTGTCATATTTAATAATAGGACATATTACCCCGTGGAGCTCTTGCCACCGTCCGAGAGCTGTTTGTACCAGAGAATCAACGTGAATCGGCTACAACTGAAGCAGCTGCTCTGCCTTCTGTGGAAATGAATGAGGTCAGTATTATGGTATTGATTTCCTTTATTGAGGCACAGTGCCATGTATGGCAGTCCCAAGTCATAGTACATGGCCTCTTGTGGCGGGGGGGGGGGGGGGGGGGGGGGGGGGGGGGGGGGGGGGGGGGGGGGGGGGGGGGGGGGAGTTGGGGGGGGGGGGGGGTTGTTCCAGAGAATAATCCTAGTGCCCCCTAACAAATGTTTTGTAAAAGGCAACTGATAACAGTTTTCTAAAATTAAATATTAAATAATACAAAAGAATCATTGCAGGAACTATAGAGAATGTGTGCTCTCTGCTTGATACCATCTTCATGTGAGATTGGAAGGAGGACAAAAGGAAATGGAGATGAGAGAAGGCATAGAAAAAGGAGAGCCGGAGTCCGGAGAGTCAGGCAAAAAAACGGAGCGTCTTGGATTAAAGAATATTAGAGTGGGTTACTGGCATTGTTGTAGTGAATAGCAGAGAGGACCTGTACTGGAGAGACTGATCTATGACTTTGATATCATTGTGCTGTAGGAATTAAACATAGATAGATATGAGTTATATAAATCCTACTGGACAGGGAAGACATGGACAGTGTCTGCTGGTGAAAAATAGGTTGAAGCATGTGCTTTTTGACCTGGACCAGTGGAATCATAGTACACTAGAGGTTCAGATAGATCATGGGGCAGAAGCCTGGAATTGAGTCAATGTTTACACTGCAGTTGACTTTCTTGTAAACTAAGATCATGGCAAACAGTCCAAACCAACAACCAGTTTTTAAACTAAGATCATGACAAACAGTCCAAACCAACAACCAGTTTGTAAACTAAGATCATGACAAACAGTCCAAACCAACAACCAGTGACCATAAGTAACCAATCACTTGAAAATGTAGAACATTTCACATATCTTGACAGTGTCGTGTCCCTACTGGGAGGGACTGAGGAAGACATACAGTCACGTCTGAACAAAGCTAGAGCTGCTTTTGGAAGGATGAGGCAAATCTGGAAATCCAACAATTACTGCAGAGGAACGAATATTTTAACTCCGACTATACAAGAGCATCATTTTGCCAGTTCTTCTTTATGGAGCGGAATGCTGGAGAATGACTAAAAAGGATGCACACAAGCTGTCCACCTTCCCCCACACATGTCTGCGTAGAATTATCAAAATTTTCTGACCAGATACAATCTCTAACACTAAACTACTTCAAGCCACAAACCAAGAAACTTTAGACAGTATGAATACCAAAAGAAGATGGAAATGGCTTGGCCACGTTATGAGAATGACTTCTGATATACCTGCCAAAACAGCTCTTACATGGACACCAGAGGGAAAGAGAAAACAGGGGCGCCCAAAAACAACATGGAGACGAACAATGGAAAGTGACCTGAGTGCGGCATCTTTGACATGGAAAACTGCACTGAAGATTGCACAGGACAGGAAAGCATGGAAAGTCCTCTCTGAAGCCTCATGTGCCACTAGGCATAACGAGAACTGATGATATGATGATGATGACTTTCTTGTCACAAAGGAACATTAAGACTGGCTAAGAATCGGCAAAGAAATACATTAGCAGAGGTTATGGTGGATGTAGACGTAGTCTGTATGAATGACGGTAGGCCAACTAGAATGGCAGTGAGACCTGGTGATGCAGATACAGCCATTGATTTGGCTTTTGTTACCCAGTCAGCAGTGCTGGACACAAAGTGGAGTGTCCTAGGAGTGACCATATGCCATGCTCAGTTTTGATTTCTAAAGCTAGCAAGATCAGGGCAAGACTTTTAAGTATGAGAGGGACAGTACCCTTCTTGGATGCTTTCGACAGAAGGTATGCAGGAGAACCACCATCTCTGCTTGTGTTTAGCTTCCATAGTGGACCCAAGAAGTAGAACAGGCATGGAGAACATAGCAAGCAGCAGTTAAATTATAGAAAGTGCGAAAGGCACCTGACAGGTTACAAAAGGATGTAGAGAGGCTAGAAAGAGTTAGAAAAGAAAAAGAAGAGTTCAAGCGTTGTGCAGCAGATGCAAAGACGGATAAATGGGAACATTTTATGAGCAAAACTGGAGGGGATAGATCACTGGGTAGGTTTTGAAGACTTCACAGACAGATGCAAAGGCAGGATCAGCCTATCACAACAGGCATTGTATACACTGATAATGATATACCAGATAATGATATACCAGATAATGAGATACCAATGACAACAGACAAAGAGAAGGGAAGCATTTTTGAAGAGATTTATAGCCCAAACTGATCATAATCATAGGGAGCTTTGAAATTCAGTTACAGAAAATCTGTATAATACAAACAAATGATAGTTATTTTGAGGACATCATTAGGGTGGAGGACATAATACATATATTGTAAAAAGCAAAGGACACCGTGCCGGGGACAGATGGAGTCAGGTATGCCCACACACTGCGCCGGGGACAGATGGAGTCAGGTATGCCCACACATTGTGCCGAGGACAGATGGAGTCAGGTATGCCCACACACTGCGCCGGGGACAGATGGAGTCAGGTATGCCCACACACTGCGCCAGGGACAGATGGAGTCACGTATGCCCACACACTGCTCCAGGGACAGATGGAGTCAGGTATGCCCACACACTGCGCCAGGGACAGATGGAGTCAGGTATGCCCACACACTGCGCCGGGGACAGATGGAGTCAGGTATGCCCACACACTGCGCCGGGGACAGATGGAGTCAGGTATGCCCACACACTGCGCCGGGGACAGATGGAGTCAGGTATGCCCACACACTGCGCCAGGGACAGATGGAGTCAGGTATGCCCACACACTGCGCCAGGGACAGATGGAGTCAGGTATGCCCACGCACTGCGCCAGGGACAGATGGAGTCAGGTATGCCCACACACTGCGCCAGGGACAGATGGAGTCACGTATGCCCACACACTGCTCCAGGGACAGATGGAGTCAGGTATGCCCACACACTGCGCCAGGGACAGATGGAGTCAGGTATGCCCACACACTGCGCCGGGAACAGATGGAGTCAGGTATGCCCACACACTGCGCCGGGGACAGATGGAGTCAGGTATGCTCACACACTGCGCCGGGGACAGATGGAGTCAGGTATGCCCACACACTGGGCCAGGGACAGATGGAGTCAGGTATGCCCACACACTGGGCCAGGGACAGATAGTCAGGTATGCCCACACACTACGCCAGGGACAGATGGAGTCAGGTATGCCCACTCACCGCGCCGGGGACAGATGGAGTCAGGTATGCCCACTTGAAGAGCATGAGTGAAGAAGACTTGAGGGAGATGGCTTTTAACTTCAACCACAGCATCAGAACAGATTCAGCACCCCAGGAATGGGTACACAGTTACCTAATTCCACTTCCAAAACTAGGCAAAAATCATTCCAGACTCAGCAGCTTCAGGATCATCACCCTACAAAATACTCTTGGCAAGGTGCTAAAGAAGATGATTGCTGTTAAACTACACAAGTTTTTGGAAAGGGAAGAGATCCTGCTAAAAGGTTTGGGTAGTTACTGGCCTCAGAAAGATACCTGGTCCAGTGCAGCTACTTTTGCTTTTGATGTTTATGAGGGGTTCCAGAACAGACAGGAGGCCGTTGTGGCAGCACTTGATCTTGAGGATGCCTACAATAGAGTCAGATATGATATTTTGAGCTCATGGAGAAGCTGGTTTGTCCGTGGTTTGTGAACTGGATTGCAGCTGTCCTGCATTCAGGTAAGGTTGCCCTTCGCCTGGGTACATGGACATCAGAACCATGTAATATCGTCCCGGGACTACCCCAATTTCACCAGTGCTCTTTAATGTCTATACAAGCAAGATTGCAGAACTTGAAGCACCAGGTGTTGGAAGAATATTGACATTTGCCGATGATGTTCTTGCATACAGGCAGGGGAGAGATAGGCGACAGATAACTCAAGAGCTATAGGCAACTGTAGATAAAGTGACTTACTGGTGTGCAGAAATGTGGGCTGTCCTCAACTCAGAAAAGGCGGCTATTTTCTGGTGCTCTCTGGACATTAGAATTGTAAAAGCCAACGTTCCAAACCTCACAATTAATAACTGCAAAATCAAAAGAGAAAGCAAACTGAGGTACCTGGGCATCATTTTCGATAGAAGCCTGTCCTATAGAGATCATGTGGAGGCAGTTGCAGTGAAATGCCAAAAAGGACTCAATGCTCTAAAGATTATGGCAACAATGGATATGGAACAAAGAATGCTGTTCACAATGTTCCAGCATGTGATCCTGTCAAGTGATAGATTATGGACTTGGAATGCTTACTATATCAAAGAGTCAGCTGATGAAACGAACACATACAGAATGAAGCCATGCGGGTGAATCTGGGATGTCCAATAGATACCCCGGTAGTATGTATGCGATATATACTTGCACTGCCTACTATTGCAGATAGGCTTAAAGTTCTGCAGGCAAAGTCATATCTCAGAGTAGCTGAGGACAAGAGGCACCTCCTGCATGAAGCCCTGGATAGAGCTAGGGGTCACAGACTGAAAAGAGGAAAGTCTTGGATGGCGCAAGCTGAAGACACTTTTGGAAATATGTGCAGGCTTGATAAATTTGGGCGAGGAGAGGAGTGGGTCATAGTGTCCGATCATGTTTCACATTTGTGTAGGGTTCTAATCACTTTAGGACGTGAGTGCAGGGATTGGCCAGCTAGGGCTGCAGAATCAGATGTTCAACAAATGATTCATGATAATTCCCGCCCAGGTGATGTGATTGTATATACAGATGGCTCTGTGTTGAGGGGCAGGCAAAGTGCCTGGAGGTTCATAGCGAGGGCGAATGGATGTCGCTTGGTGCAACAAAGCCTGGCACAGCATCTAGTTTGAGAATGGAGGTGGAGGCAGTCACTGCTGCCTTCCACTGGCTTGAGAATCATCTGTACACACATGTCCTCATTGTAACTGACTCACAGAGCATGCTGAGAAAGGTAGAGACAGGCATGCTCTGTGCAGAATGGCAAGCATCACTTCAGAGGTCCTGGATAGTTAGCATCCTTTGGATATTTTTCCAGTGATGCGGGTGTGTTGGGAAATAGACTGGCCGTTTCTGCGCCACTTGGTGGTGAACTGATGTATGACAAGCTGGATATTGCGAGGGCCTTTTGGGAGCGAGTAAATAGTGCTAAGGGACAGAGATCATTACGGTCTGAGGAGAATGTCACTGCAAGGAGTTACAAGGAGTTCTGGCCGATGCTCGACACTCAGGAGAAGGCGAGATGGATATACAATCAGACAGTTACTGGTATTATCGGAATTTTAACTCTTCACTTGCTGCTTGAGATGGGGATAGAACACTTATGGGGGTGTTTCGAGTGCTGTGATGTCGATTCCTAAATTTAACATTGAAAAAAAATGCTTTGAGCAGAGACCTAGATATCACAGCCTAACTGTAAACCACAACATAACATACCAATTGCCCTTTCAGGGACAAATGTTGAAGAAATACTCTAGGTCATTAACTTGAAACAAGGATTTCCCCAGGGACAAATGCTGAAGAAATACTCCAGGTTATTAACTTGAAACAAGGATTTCCCCAGGGACAAATGCTGAAGAAATACTCCAGGTCATTAACTTGAAACAAGGATTTCCCCAGGGACAAATGCTGAAAAAATACTCCAGGTCATTAACTTGAAACAAGAATTTCCCCAAGGCACACAAACGTATTTGCTTATAAAATGTAACCATCTGTACCTAATAATTGGCACTTCTGCTTTCATTGTAAACTGGCTTTTCTAGACCCACAGAGGGGAAACCAGCTACATCTGAATCCACTGACTGATTAACAGGTGACAACAGTATGGTTTTATTTGATCATATGGACGTACAATAACTACTCATTAAACAAAATATTTTAACGACAGAACACAACTTTTTCCTGATATGACTAAAAGAGTTAGTTTAACAAAAAAAGATAGTAAAGGCCCTTTATTTTGCGTGCCAGTGGTGTGTGGAGTTAGGTGATGTGTGCCAGTGGTGTGTGGAGTTAGGTGATGTGTGCCAGTGGTGTGTGGAGTTAGGTGATGTGTGCCAGTGGTGTGTGGAGTTAGGTGATGTGTGCCAGTGGTGTGTGGAGTTAGGTGATGTGTGCCAGTGGTGTGTGGAGTTAGGTGATGTGTGCCAGTGGTGTGTGGAGTTAGGTGATGTGTTAAGCATCACCCCTGATGACTTTTTTTCCAGAATATTACAAAAAAATCACTTTTGTGCTGAGTCAACCTGGGAGCCGAGATTAATTTTGGGAGAAACAAATTCTATAACAGTGCTAATTCAAAGGTGACTTTTGGGTTGGGAGAAACAAATTCTATAACAGTGCTAGTTCAAAGCTGACTTTTGGGTTGGGAGAAACAAATTCTATAACAGTGCTAATTCAAAGGTGACTTTTGGGTTGGGAGAAACAAATTCTATAACAGTGCTAGTTCAAAGGTGACTTTTGGGTTGGGAGAAACAAATTCTATAACAGTGCTAGTTCAAAGGTGACTTTTGGGTTTGGGAGAAACAAATTCTATAACAGTGCTAGTTCAAAGGTGACTTTTGGGTTGGGAGAAACAAATTCTATAACAGTGCTAATTCAAAGGTGACTTTTGGGTTGGGAGAAACAAATTCTATAACAGTGCTAATTCAAAGGTGACTTTTGGGTTGGGAGAAACAAATTCTATAACAGTGCTAATTCAAAGGTGACTTTTGGGTTGGGAGAAACAAATTCTATAAGAGTGCTAATTCAAAGGTGACTTTTGGCTTGTCAGATGAGCATCTAGCCACCTCACTGTGGCTCCTGATCCAAGAATTACGGAAGATAAGAGAATAGAAGTAAGCACAGATTAGTAACATCATATTTTACATAGGCTACCTATGGAGGCCATAAACTATATTTAAGAGAACATGGGGTAATGAAGAAATGTGCTGTACAGAAAGCTGAAAGATGTAGGGAGACAGAAACAATATTTGTTCCTGACCCAGAGATGACAATTTTCATGCTGATTGTAAATGCATATCATAGAAAAACTAATGTGGAGCTTTGGAAAAGAACTAATTAATTCCATGGATCAAGAAGTGAAGAAAAGATGCTGGAATTGGATAGGACATGAAGACAAGCCAGAAAGCACATTTGGAGAGGGCACAAAGAGAGTTAATTTACAAAGACGTGTGGGACATGCTGTGAGCTGCATGCTACAACAAGAACAGGACTGTTTGGTTTGAGTTGTTTAAGAGTTCTACCAACAATACTACACTTCTTTTTCTTCTCTTCCACATTGTACCTCAGCCAAGTGGCGGCGGGAGATGTAACAATTGTTGATGTGCTCTGTCAAGAGCAGTGTTAGACTGATGTTCATTTCTTTAAGGCTGTTTTTAATGCCATCACTCCAAATTTTTCCGAAGTCTTTCACTCGCTCTATACCCATTGTAACATTTTAGTGTGGCTTGCTGTAGCAGATAGTACCAGGGCATTCTCGTTAGGTGTCTAAACCTCTTTATTTTTTGTTCTTTGATGACCGGTAAGACTGGCTTTATTCCTAGCATTTGTCTGATTTCGGGATTTCTTATTCTGTCTTTCCTTGAAAATTCTGCAGCTCTTCTAAGGAATTTCATTTCTGTTGTCACAATACTACACTGGGAGATAAAAGGCAGAAGAAAAAGATTTATATAATATCTACTATCGTGAAGGCACAGGGACTCAGGACGTGATGATCCAGCACACTCTGAGCCCCACCACGTGTCAAAGGGGAAGGCAGAAACACAACCCATATTTCCCTAAGAACTGACACAGCACACTTCTGGCTGCTGTCCGGGGAGGGAGGTAATCCACAGACACCCCAGCACCACAATGCCATCCTGCATCAGTATTCCACCAAGCTGTGCAGAGCCAGCCAGTCTGTCCGCCTGTTCATTTCCCAACACACCGGCGTGCCCTGGTGAAGAAATCCATACAATACTCCTCGCCTGTTTCAGTCTTATTATTAAACGTGTACCACCTATTGCTCTGGGACAGTTAAGGTATTGGCCAAACATGACCACATTATCCCTCATATACCACTCAGTCTCTGAAAGTGAGTTTTTCATGTAGCCAGTACGTTTGAATATTGTGTAAATGATATGACTTTTAATTTCACTGTCCTATAGGTGGATTTACAGTGGACTCAGGTTCTTGCAGAGGGTTGGGCTACACCTATTGGTGGCTTTATGAGAGAGAGAGAGTATTTGCAGTCCCAACACTTTGGTTGTCTCTTGGATGGTGAGTATTGTCATTCAGCTTTATGGTAAATTTAATACTGTACTAGCTGACTTTGCAGTCAGTTCACATTTTTGCAGTCACACATTTGTTTATAATTTTTCAAAACGTTTTCCAATTAGGAATAATGAAATCACAAACAGTAGAGTGCAGAAGAATTTATTTGCATCTTAGGCACAAAGTACAGTTTTATTAGCATTAAAGGTAACTTAAACATATCCTTCTAGCTAAGATATGACACAGTCTTTTGTTTCGTTGTGTTACCATGGTAGTTTTATGTTATTTTCACTGCATAGCTTGGGATGACTGATGCAATGGTAGCAGCTGCTAAACAATGTCAGTCTGTGCAAATGTGACATGTAACACATGCAGAAGGCATTCTTTCTGTCAGCTCTGTGCCCCAAATAAGTAGCATGATATTAAGGATGGGCTCTCCCCCCCCCCCCCCCCTTTTTTTTTTTAATTGTGTTTCCACAATATTCTTTTGTTTTTCTGTCTACCTGTCAATGCTCTGCTTCTTTTATATCCCTCTCTCTCTCTCTTGTGTAGCTTGGCTCGCATTTGCATTGAAATTGATAGATGCAGTGAGACCTTTAGTGTGGAGGCAAAGCTACTGTTGCTGATGCTGTTGAAATAGGGTTAGTTGGATAAACTGCCACTGGAACAGCAGTGTAAAGCATGTGACCCAATGTTATTTTTTAGTCAGTCCTGCACATGTTGCAGTATGGGATCTGCTCAGACAGTTAGTTTAATAAGTACCTACAGTTTTTAGTTTGGGGACACATGTTTCTTTGAATGATGATTTTAATGAATGACACATAATTTAATACAATGTAATATAATATAATTTTTTGTGTGCTTGAGTTAATCTTTAGTTGTGTTATCTTCCTCAGATTAATGACTACTATTTGTAACATCTTGTTTCTTAGAGCTGTAATCTTTAATATCAAAACTGGTCGATGATTAGTATTAATGTTTGTTTTTGCTTTAACTCCAGAGTCTGATAAAAATCTTTAGTTGATTTTCTGATCCGGAATGGCTGACCTTTATCTTTGTGTTGTGGCGTATGGCTGACCTTTATCTTTGTGTTGTGGCGTATGGCTGACCTTTATCTTTGTGTTGTGGCGTATGGCTGACCTTTATCTTTGTGTTGTGGCGTATGGCTGACCTTTATCTTTGTGTTGTGGCGTATGGCTGACCTTTATCTTTGTGTTGTGGCGTATGGCTGACCTTTATCTTTGTGTTGTGGCGTATGGCTGACCTTTATCTTTGTGTTGTGGTGTATGGCTGACCTTTATCTTTGTGTTGTGGCCTATGGCTGTTCAAGGCAATGAGCATACAGATTATGGGGCGGCCACTACTGTTTCTATGTCTGCTCTGGTACTGGACAGAAGCAGGGTCATCAGTGCCCTGCATGATGTAAATTGTGAAGATGAATGCTGCAAAGGCCTTGACTCCATATCCCTGTCAAAGCTTATGGACATGGGGCTGAAGCCTAGAACTGCCAGATATGATCACTTCACTAAGGTTGCAATGCGCCTGATGAATCAACAGAAAACAGGTGTTACCAGTTGTTTGTGGGACTAATGAGGAGGGGTTTGGAGCACCTAGGTGTTGGAGTGAGCTGATGATAGTCTTCACTGTCCATATTGACAATAAGAATGAAATCCATTTGAGATACCTGGTCTGTGTTTTTCCGTTTAAACATGTTGTTAGCGTCGCTACATTGATGATGTTTAAAACAACACCTGTTATTTTGATTAGTCCTCGTTGACAGTACAAATTGAGCAGATTGTTACCATTGCAGTCATGAGCTGTTTCTGCGTCACTGATGTGGAAATCTTCTTCATTCTGTGGCAGTGTCTGCCTATATGATCTCACATTCAGCGATCACTCCCAGCTGGACATGACAGCCAACATGGTGGACTCCCGAGGTAGAGCAAGCATGCAAAATTGAAAAAAAAAAAAAAAATGAGTGTTGGTGAAAGAATAGCAGCCAGTATGAAGGTTAGAAAATATGAGAACGGAGGTCCAAGCGGTCAGATACCAAAATGGCTCTACACTCTGGTTGTGGTTGGCATGAAATATTGAGTAGGTTGTTTAGTTCAGGAATAATCTTGTTGTCAATAAAATGGAAAGTATTTAAATGTATTTGGGTTTGCATTGATGTTGTCCTTCACCTGTTGCATCGACTGGTATGATTGTCTCACAGTGTCCCACTAGTATTGTTTATAAATTAATGTGTTAGTAAATGTCATATTGGATATGTTCTCATTGCCATCATTTTTTTAATAAACTAATCCTGCGAGTTATTTAATGTATTCCAATTTTTTCTATGGAATTTTTTTTTTTTTAAATGAATGCAGGTAAACAATTACATGGATGGTTTTTTCATTGCACAGGTGGAGTGATCAACCAGTCCATACCCCTGGTATTGCCAGTCCAGACTGCAGATAAGGAGAGACTTCATGGGTCTAAAGCTTTCACTTTGAAGTATCAAGGAAAAGATGTAGCAATTTTACGTAATCCAGAGTTTTACCCACACAATAAAGAGGAGCGATGTGGTCGCCAGTTTGGCACCACAAACCAGGGGCATCCTTATGTTAAGGTGAAAGTTAAGATTTGTTGGCTAATTAAAATGTGATTAGTTGGGCATATAAATTGTGATGCCCTATTTTTCTTTTACTAGCATACAGCAGATATAGTTCCTTTATATGTTCTTAATTATAATGAACAAATAGCATAAAGTTCTCAAACACTGTGCATTGGCCTGCCATGCATCAGAGGCTGCGCTAGCAGAAAGACAAGAGGCAGTTTAGAAAGGCAGTTACAACATCAAGATGTTTTAAACATTTGTCTATAAAACCACATTTCTTATGGACCGACTGTCCTTGATTCAGTTCTGTAGGATAAGATTTATATAGCTCTCGTCCTCCCTCTTATTCTTTTTCTACTGCTTTTTCTTCTTCTTCTTCTTCTTCTTCTTCTTCTTCTTCTTCTTCTTCTTCTTCTTCTTCTTCTTCTTCTTCTTCTTCTTCTTCTTCTTCTTCTTCTTCATCATCATCATTATCATCATTATCAATCATCATGTATTTCTTCTATTACCTTACTGAACTGTGGTGGTGGGGTGGGGGGGGGGGGGGGGGGGGGGGGGGGTGGGGGGGGGGGGGGGGGGGGGGGGGGTTGAGATATTTAAGGATTTGTGTCTATCCTCATGTTGTATACAATGATCTTCATTTATTTCTTAAAGGCTGTTGTTGATGCTGGTCTTCATTTTGCTGTGTTCATTACATTTCTTCAGCATAGCAATATCTCTCCATCAATGTTGATGGAGAGATTTTTTGGCTTAGATTGTTATAAGTGAACAAAATATGGGCACACACACACACACACAAAGAAAAGACAGTCAGTCAGTGGAGTTGCATCATCTGTAGTTGCCACCAGAAAGAAATCTAAGACAACTCTCTCACCTGGAAAGTCATGGTCACTGTCCTTTGGGACATGGAAGGTGGGATGTTTGTCTGCATGTTATGCCAAAAGGAGAGACAATCAGTTCACAAAGTTACATTAAGAACTGAAAAAACTCAAAAGTGTTTTTGCAGAGTTCGGCTGCACTGGAATTAAGCCGACCCGCTTCTCCTTCTCAACAGTTAAGTCTGGGAAGCAATCACCAAACTGGGTTGGACTGTACGCCCCATCCACCATATTTTCCACCCCTCTAATTTTCATGTTTGGTCGACTCCATGGGACAAGGTTTGAAGATGATGAAGTGATTCATACAGCCAAGAAATGGCTACATGATCATGACAACATGAGTACAGGGTAGCAATATTTAACTCTTGTTTTCCACTGGCATCAAGCCATACACGTTTATGAGGATTATTTTGAGTAATGTTGATGGTTACGTGACATATCCATGTATATTATATATACATTTCATTTTTTTTTAACAGCTCCCGAAAAAATGATGTGGTGCATTACTTTGTGAAGAATAGCCCTATATGATTTGCTGATATTTGATACCACCAGCTGAACATTGTCATTAAATGTTGCCCATTGGCAAATCAGTATTTTAAAAAAAACTGGCAAACACAATAGATATAGCCACATGCTACTTTAGTGTTGGGCTCAAACACAACAGATATGGCCACATGCTACTTTAGTGTTGGTCTCACACACAACAGATATAGCCACATGCTACTTTAGTGTTGGTCTCAAACAACAGATATAGCCACATGCTACTTTAGTGTTGGTCTCAAACACAACAGATATGGCCACATGCTACTTTAGTGTTGGTCTCAAACTGCGTAATAAGTTCATTTGCTGATATTGCTTTATATCATTAGCATGTTTGTAGTAAGAGGTCATTTTTTTTTTCTAATTTAAGAAATAAAGAAAATTTGCAAAACACATGGTAAATATTGCTAGCGAATCAAGGAATCACAAACAAATATGTGCTCATTAACATGTGGGGCAGGTAGATAATGGATGCTTGAGTTGCCCAGATCTGTTTGAAGTCTTTGCCATAAAATCTATGTGGTTGATATTTCAGATGATCATGGACAGTGGGGACTGGCTGGTTGGAGGAGATCTAGAAGTGTTAGATAGAATATTATGGAATGATGGACTGGATGAATATCGACTAACGCCACGAGAGTTGAGGCTCAAATTCAGAGAACTTGGTGTAAGTATCAATTATAAAAAATATATCAGATTTTTGAAAACCTGCAGCATTGATGCAAAAAATTTGAGAGAGAGTGAGTGCATGCGTGTGTGTGTCAACCAGCTATATACTACCACCTGGACTGTTTAATTAGCTTAGTGAAATATTAATGAGATTCATATAAGACATACTAGTGATGCCAGTTGTTCAGCATTTTGTGAATTGCCTGCAATATGCTGAGAGAATGGGTTGTGTCACTGAACATACAACGCAGTTATAAGTATTGATACATCGAATTTTAATAAAAAAATCAAGAAGAAAGTTTATGTTTGAACAGCGGAAAAACATAAGTTATGGTAATTGCAATAAGAAAATATCTTCCAGAATGCATCAGCAAAATCACAGTAAATGGAACTAGTCTGAACAAGCCTTTGGGTACCTTGACAACATCAGATATAGTCATCATCATCATCATCAGGTGCCTTGCCGACTTGCGTGGGCGATCATGCCTCTCCATAATCTGCTATCTCCTGCAGCATGTATCAGTTCGTGTATATATAGTATGTATCACAAACACATGTTATCTTAACCTTACTAATGCTGATAACAATACCATAGGAAAAATCAATGACAGGAACAAAAAGAGTGTGTCAAGGCTCATACCTCACATCTGATTTCTACATTTACCAAGTGGTAGTCAACCCTTAACTCTTTCAGGACGGCAGCTTTTTTCTGGAGTTTAAACAGAATTGATTCTGAGCTGAATCTGTTTTACTGCAACATAACAAAGCTAAAACCGTCATGAAGAAAAAGTATTGGCTGTATTGTGACAATCAATGTATCAAATTAAGGAGAAATGAAGACAGAATACATGTAAACTATTTAAGAATCAGTATTACATCAGCAAAATATTAAAATCACACCACATTCAGGGATGTTTCACACATGAAGCGTTTTGACACAAAACATTTTCTACTACCTGTTTTTTTTTTTTAACTTCATAAGCAACACTGATATCAATTTCTATAAATTCACATACCTTCTATATTCGTTTATGCATCAACTAGTCTTTATTTGAGGCATTTGATCTAACTACCTTGGATATATTAACCTTTTTTTGTGTGAAGATCACACAAAAATTGTATCACACTTTGATTAAAACCAAATTGAAAATTAAACCTCTCACTTCCACATGCTTTGAAAATGAAAATACTTTATTTCGCTAATTCTTGTTTTAAAAAAAAACAGGTTCATGCAAATTGACTTTCCTAGCGATTGAAACAATAGTAGAGCGTCTATGTCATCAACCACTGAATCTGTGGTATGCCAGAATGTCACTAGTTCTGTCACCATCTAATCGGCGATATGTCCAGAAAGAGTTGGATATTTATTATGTGCTTAAAGTGTGAAGATATAAAGCTGTTACAGTAAAAAAAGCCATTGTATATAGGCCTGATAAGGTGGAATGTCCATCACCTTCCCAGAAAGTCATCCCTGTGCTTATCTTACAAGGTTGCATTGAAGTTAGGAGGAAAACAATGATGTCCATCACCTTCCCAAAAAGTCATGCCTGGGCTTATCTTACAAGGCTGCATTGAAGTTAGGAGGAAAACAATGATGTCCATCACCTTCCCAGAAAGTCATCCCTGGGCTTATCTTACAAGGCTGCATTGAAGTTAGGAGGAAAACAATGATGTCACTGCTGGAGATGTAACTGTTAGCCACTGTGGGCCCCTCCTCCAGTCACTGTGTCATAGCAATCATTTCTTCCTGTTGTCTTCTGGGACCCCATTAACAATAATAGACACACTACTCCCCACCTTCCCCAAACAAGCGTGATGCAATAACTGACTAAATAGAGAAAACAATAATAGATGCACTGCTCCCCACCTTCCCCAAACAAGTGTGATGCAACAACTGACTAAATAGAGAAAACAATAATAGATGCACTGCTCCCCACCTTCCCCAAACAAGTGTGATGCAACAACTGACTAAATAGAGAAAACAATAATAGATGCACTGCTCCCCACCTTCTCCAAACAAGTGTGATGCAATAACTGACTAAATAGAGAAAACAATAATAGATGCACTGCTCCCCCACCTTCCCCAAACAAGTGTGATGCAATAACTGACTAAATAGAGAAAACAATAATAGATGCACTGCTCCCCACCTTCCCTAAACAAGCGTGATGCAACAACTGACTAAAGAGAGAAAACAATAATAGATGCACTGCTCCCCCACCTTCCCCAAACAAGTGTGATGCAACAACTGACTAAAGAGAGAAAACAATAATAGACGCACTGCTCCCCACCTTCCCCAAACAAGCGTGATGCAACAACTGACTAATTAGAGGTGTCTCCCTCCAAGTCGGAGTGCATATGCCTGAGAGGCCAGGAACCAACAGTCTGCATACAAATACACTACATCTTATCAAATGGATGTGCACACAAAGCTTAATTTTTGGATCAAGGCCAAAGTCCAGAGGTGGATGAACAACCAAAACCTTTGCCAGAATTTACAGCTGGTGAAAAACTATGAAGAAGATCATAGTTGCTTCTTCTTTTTCTCCTCCTCTTCCCCCTCCTCCTCTTTCTCCTACTCTTAAAAGAGTAGCTGGCGTGAAGTTTTAAGCTGCACAGCTAGACTTTGATATATGCACATTTCAACCCAACACATCTGGTTTCTGCAAACTTCCAATTAGTTGCATTTTATATCAACCCCCCCCCCCCCCTCCCGGGCAAGTTATATTTTGTCGAATTGAGAATTTTCAGAAGAGTTTGTTTCTAAACAGACTTTGGATTCATATACTGATGCAGGCTGTTGTTGATTTGTAGGCAGATGCAGTCTTTGCTTTTCAACTGAGGAACCCAATCCATAATGGACATGCATTACTAATGTCAGACACTAGAAAGAAACTGTTGGAGAAGGGCTACAAGAAACCAGTTCTTCTCTTGCATCCTTTAGGTAGGAGCTGATTTCAGTTGTTATTATGGTCTGTCATTTTATAAGAATGTCATACACCTTTAGTAATATTGACAGATTTGGCAGTAACATTTAAATTATTATTCTGTGTAATATTTTATAATTAACAACTGAGCTCTTTCATAACATTTCAAAATTGGTTGTATGCGGTGATGGCCATAAGTCTGTCCTGAATTGTGAACTGTTTGGCAGCAGTCATGTATGAAAGCCAGCTAGCAGTGCGCTTGGGCTCCTAGACCTGAGACCAATCAGCCATGTATGAAAGCCAGCTAGCAGTGCGCTTGGGCTCCTAGACTTGAGACCAATCAGCCATGTATGAAAGCCAGCTAGCAGTGCGCTTGGGCTCCTAGACTTGAGACCAATCAGCCATGTATGAAAGCCAGCTAGCAGTGCGCTTGGGCTCCTAGACCTGAGACCAATCAGCCATGTATGAAAGCCAGCTAGCAGTGCGCTTGGGCTCCTAGACCTGAGACCAATCAGCCATGTATGAAAGCCAGCTAGCAGTGCGCTTGGGCTCCTAGACCTGAGACCAATCAGCCATGTATGAAAGCCAGCTAGCAGTGCGCTTGGGCTCCTAGACTTGAGACCAATCAGCCATGTATGAAAGCCAGCTAGCAGTGTGCTTGGGCTCCTAGACTTGAGACCAATCAGCCATGTATGAAAGCCAGCTAGCAGTGTGCTTGGGCTCCTAGACTTGAGACCAGTGTTCTGTCATCTGGTTTACCCATGGGCTCAGCTATCTCACCAGTGCTCTCAACAAATACCAGCTCAGCTATTGAGGCACCAGCAATTGGAAGAGTGTTCACTTTTGCAGACAATGTGCTGGCATACAGGCAGGCCAGGGATAGAAAGAGAATACTGAAGGCGCTGCAAGTGGTGATGGATACAATTTGAAAAGACTATATTTGAAAAACTTAGAGCATCAACATTATGGTGTTCAATGAACAGAGCATCAACATTATGGTGTTCAATGGATAGAGCATCAACATTATGGTATTCAATGGACAGAGCATCAACATTATGGTGTTCAATGGACAGAGCATCAACATTATGGTGTTCAATGGACAGAGCATCAACATTATGGTGTTCAATGGATAGAGCATCAACATTATGGTGTTCAATGGACAGAGCATCAACATTATGGTGTTCAATGGATAGAGCATCAACATTATGGTGGTCAATAGACAGAGCATCAACATTATGGTGTTCAATGGATAGAGCATCAACATTATGGTGTTCAATGGACAGTAGAATTGTGAAAGCAGACAAAAACCAAGATCACAATAAATGAAGTGGCCATAAGGAGAAACACACTAAAATATATAGGAATTACATTTGACAGGGGACTGTCTTTCAGAGACCACTTTGATGCAGCCATAGCAAAGAGAGGCTTAATGTACTGATGATTATGACTGCTGCACACATAGAACAAGCAATGGCACACCCACTCAAGCAATACCTTGCTCTGCTGGTCTGACTGCTGCACACATAGAACAAGCAATGGCACACTCACTCAGGAAATACCTTGCTCTGCTGATCTGACTGCTGCACACATAGAACAAGCAATGGCACACTCACTCAGGCAATACCTTGCTCTGTCAGTCTGACTGCTGCACACTTAGAACAAGCAATGTCACACTCACTCAGACAATACCTTGCTCTGTCGGTCTGACTGCTGCACACATAGAACAAGCAATGGCACACTCACTCAGGCAATACTTTGCTCTGTCAGTCTGACTGCTGCACACATAGAACAAGCAATGTCACACTCACTCAGACAATACCTTGCTCTGTCGGTCTGACTGCTGCACACATAGAACAAGCAATGGCACACTCACTCAGGCAATACTTTGCTCTGTCAGTCTGACTGCTGCACACATAGAACAAGCAATGTCACACTCACTCAGACAATACCTTGCTCTGTCAGTCTGACTGCTGCACACATAGAACAAGCAATGTCACACTCACTCAGGCTATACCTTGCTCTGTCAGTCTGACTGCTGCACACATAGAACAAGCAATGTCACACTCACTCAGGCTATACCTTGCTCTGTCGGTCTGACTGCTGCACACATAGAACAAGCAATGTCACACTCACTCAGGCTATACCTTGCTCTGTCAGTCTGACTGCTGCACACATAGAACAAGCAATGTCACACTCACTCAGGCTATACCTTGCTCTGGTTGTCTGACTGCTGCACACATAGAACAAGCAATGTCACACTCACTCAGGCTATACCTTGCTCTGTCGGTCTGACTGCTGCACACATAGAACAAGCAATGTCACACTCACTCAGGCTATACCTTGCTCTGTCGGTCTGACTGCTGCACACATAGAACAAGCAATGACACACTCACTTAGGCTATACCTTGCTCTGGTTGTCTGACTGCTGCACACATAGAACAAGCAATGTCACACTCACTTAGGCTATACCTTGCTCTGTCGGTCTGACTGCTGCACACATAGAACAAGCAATGTCACACACACTCAGGCTATACCTTGCTCTGTCGGTCTGACTGCTGCACACATAGAACAAGCAATGGCACACTCACTTAGGCTATACCTTGCTCTGCCCGTCATTAAATATGTTTTGGGGATGCTAACCGTGTCAAAGATTCAGTTGCAGAAATTGGACACAGTCAAGGTTGATATACTCGAGAGGGGCAGATCCTGGATGACCCAAGCTAAACAAATGGTTACAGGAAAGTAGTGGAGGGCAGAGAAGAGCTGCCAAGAGTTGTTGGCACAGGAATGGAGGAAATGGACACGGACAGAGACTCAAAGTTAACAGAAGACAACTCTAGGCCAGGAGATATCATATTCACTGATGGGTCAGTGGCCACAGGTCACAAGGATTGGGTATGGTTTCATTGTAAAAGCATGAGAGAGAATGACAACTGAGGAGAGCTTGGCATTTGACATTACTACATCCAGCATGAGAGAGAATGACAACTGAGGAGAGCTTGGCATATGACATTACTACATCCAGCATGAGAGAGAATGACAACTGATGAGAGCTTGGCATATGACATTACTACATCCAACATGAGAGAGAATGACAACTGAGGAGAGCTTGGCATATGACATTACTGCATCCAGCATGAGAGAGAATGACAACTGAGGAGAGCTTGGCATATGACATTACTACATCCAGCATGAGAGAGAATGACAACTGAGGAGAGCTTGGCATATGACATTACTACATCCAGCATGAGAATGGAGGCTGAGGTGGTAACGGTGGCATTGAGGTGTGTGCAGAAAATCAGGAAGATGGAGTCAGGTTTTTTCAAATGGAATGGGTCACATTAATGCAGAAGTCACTGGTGGTAAGAGTCACATGTGTATTTGGCCCAGAGAACAATTAGTATCATCAGTCGAGTGTGGACTCGTCACTGGCCGTTGAGGAGAAAGACAGCGCTTATATGGGCGTGTCCTGAATGCTGAGATGTCAAATCTTTACCCAGATGAACCCAGATATGAAGAAACTATAAGAATGTATTTCAAATATATAATAAAATAAATATATTAAAATTTATATATTTGAACTGGTTATGTGGGTCATTTTGACCCACTGCCAGAGTTAGTTGCATGTCATTTACATGTCATTTACAGAGTGTTGCAAATCAACTCCTGTATATGTTGGCTGTTTGTGGCTTTACAGAGTGTTGCAAATCAACTCCTGTATATGTTGGCTGTTTGTGGCTTTACAGTGTTGCAAATCAACTCCTGTATATGTTGGCTGTTTGTGACTTTACAGAGTGTTGCAAATCAACTCCTGTATATGTTGGCTGTTTGTGGCAATTTTATGTTTTATAGTAATTGAGTTGAGTTGAGTTGAGTCAAGAATTGACATCACAGCACTCGGGCATTTCCATGCGTGCTCTGTCCTCATCTTCAGCAGCCAGCTTAGAGTTCCAATATTGATGGTACTGGTCACAACCTGGTTATATGTCTGTCTTGCCTTTCCTCTGAGTGTAGTGATCTGGCCAGACCCTTTGGTTACACCCAGGCGCCTCATTCTCCCCAGGCCATAATAATCTTCCTTCTCTACTGATTCCGTTGCTTGCTCCCAAAGGACCTTGACCACATCTGCCTTGTCACGTATCAAATTCACAACCCATTGGTGCAGATCCATCCAATCATCTGCCTGTTTATTACCCACTATGCCGGCATAGCCTGGAGAAAAGATCCAAAGTATGCTCACTAACAGTGACCTTCCCAGTGAAGCTTGTCACTCTGCTTGAAGTATCCCTCTCTTCACCTTTCTCAGCATGCCTGCAGAGACTGTTACAATTATGACATGAGGCACTTCTCTTTTCTCTCACCATCTCTATAGATAATCAGATCACCTGGGCGTGAATTGTCATGAATTAACTGTTGGACTTCCACCTCCATGGCACCCGCTGGCCACTTTCTGCACTTCCGGTCAGACTTTTCCTCTGGTACTCTGAGCCACTCCTCTTCTCGCCCAATGTGCTTCAGCGTGCATACTTGTCTTATGCTTGAGCCATCCTTGATTTTCCCCTTTTCAGCCTCTGACGCTTAACTGTATCCAAAGCCTAGAGGGTGCTATTTATCTGCAGCTTCTCTGAGGTATGACTTAGCCTGCAGCACCTTTAGCCTATAGGCAATAGTCGGCAATGCAAGGATGTATTGCATGCACACAATCAGGGTATCTCTTGTACATCCCAGGATCACCCGCATAGCTTCATTCTGTATGCGCTCCAGTTTCTCTAGCTGACTCTTCAAGACAGTGAGTAACCCCAATCCATAATCAATCACTGAGATGATTAAGCGCTGGTAAAGTGTGAACAGCATTCTCTGCTCCATAATCTTTAGTGCATTAAGACCTTTTTGAGCCTTTGTCACAACTCCCTCTTCGTGATCCTTGAAACAAACTTCTGTCAAAGGTGAAACCCAGGTACCACTTTCTGTTTTCTCTTTTGATGTCCCTGCCATTTATTAAATTCTGGGAACATCTGCTCAAACAATCCTGTTGTCCACAAAACAGCACAGGGCGGTTGCCTTTTCTGGGTTGATTACAGCACTCATCTCTGTACACCAGTCAGTCACCTTATCTACTGTCTCCTGTAACTTTTAAGCTATTTGATCCCGATCTATCCCTTTCCTATATATGAGAACATCATCTGCAAATATCAGTATTCTGCCAACTCCAGGTGTTTCCAGGTATGCAATTTTGCTCATAAAAACATTGAACAGCACATGTGAAGTTGCAGATCCCTATGGTAGTCCTGGGGCTATACATGGTTCAGAGGTCCATGAACCCAGGTGGAGAACTACCCCGCATGTGTACAAAACGGCTGCTATCCAGTTCACCAACCAAGGACAGACTCCCTTCTCCATAAGCACTTTTATCAAGATGCTGTATCTGACTCTGTTGTAAGCATCTTCTAAATAAAGTGCCTCTGCCTCCGTTTCCTGTCTGATCTGGAAACCTTTCAAGGTGTCAAACCTGGAAGTAGCTTTCTCTGCTCCACAAATTCTTGTAGCTTACCCCCCTCTATCTTCAACACTTTACCAAAGGTAGGGTTATGATTCTAAAGCCGCTGAGTGTTGAATGATTCTTGCCAGGCTTAGGAAGTGGTGAAATCAGGTAGCTGTGCTTCCACTCTTCACCTTTCTATTTCTCTGCTTTCTTTTCTCACCATTTCCTTGTTAGCTCCTCTTTACTTTCTATTTGTTGCTCTATGAAGATGACGTTAAGCGCAGAGAATGTGCTTGGTAGCTCTGGCGACAATTCTTATAAAAAAAAAAAATCCAAATTAAAAAAATGTGTACTGGTGCAGAAAGTAGCCGGTCACCATAGTAGAGCTTGCCTGCTAGGGAAGAGGCAGTGGATTTCTCTATGGAGTCTGGCATTGCCCCTCCTGCTGACCAGATGTCCGCGTTCACGGCTGACTTTTCTATCCCACAACCATTCAGCCTCTCAGCACGTAAATCCACCTAAGGCTTGGTTTTTTTAAAATTCAATTTTGTCCTCTGTAGATCCATTGTATTTTGTCCCAGGACCGCAAGGTCTTAGTTAAAGGGGTCACTTTTTTAAGGATGTACCTTTTCGGTCACACACAACGGTCTTAACTGTGGAAAGGTTTGCCAGGTCAGAGGACTTATCACCTGAGTGCGCCCTTTTCATATGTAAGGCTGAACCCAGAGACTCACGAGGGGGAACAGCTGGTGTGCTCCACTGCCTAAGAGTCTTAGCCACTACAGCCCTGAGTCTCCATGACCCTCGACCCACTGTTTGTTGTTAGTATGGTTGCAGCTCAAGCCAGTGAGAGCATCATGATCTCTGTTGCCACCAACTGCTTTATCTTCCATGAGACTGATCATAACACCTCATTCCACTTCTCTGTGTGTAATATCTTGTCTTGCATTTTCCATCAGAGCCACATTACAACCTCTACTGATGTAGACTGAGCAGAGATGAACTCATCCTAGGCTCATTATGTCTGTATACCCCAACAGATACCAATCAGTTTCAGTGGCCGGCTGTCTGTGAACCACTTACGCTTGTTGGAACAAGTTCTAATTCTTGTCTGAGTATTGCAGTGCCAGGTCTTTGAGACTGGTTGATCCCTCTTCTGTCACTTTGGCTCTGAACTAAAGAATCGGAAGGAATTCAGTCCACTTCATTGCAACCTGTGTTTTTGGAACAATTGAGTTAGAGGAATGTCGCAGGAAGAGACACCCATCAGTGGTAACAAAACCGTTAGTGTTATTTAATAGTTTGGCATTTTCTGTCTGACTGATCAGCACCCCCAGACCATTGTTGAAACCATTGCACAGCATGTTGTTGCCAAATTGCTTGCAGCATAATTGAACCATTTATTTATTTTATAATTAAACACTGCATCCGTAACGCCTAAGTCACATATGTCTAGATATTCACAGTAAGTGATAAAGCACGTTGCTTTCTGATGTACTTCCTACTATTTTTTTTTTTCATAACTAATTATAGCAAAGTGTTAAAAAAAAAAATATCATCTTCAGTTTTGGCCACCCGCGGGGGGGGGGGGGGGGGGGGGGGGGGGGGGGGGGGGGGGGGGGGGGGGGGGGGGTTACACTAAAAAAACGTGATAGTTTAGAGAATGAATGCATTCAGTACTGAACAACTCATTCTGCATTTGTCGGTTTCTACTTGCATGGTATACTTTTCTGAACTGTTTGTATCTCATACAGTTTTTGTTTACACTGGCCACTTAACCCCGATTGTGACCTTATCCATATCTAGGAAGTGATTTTTCAGAAATGGAAGAAATACAGCAACGAAACTGAAAAGCCAATCAGATTATAGGCAGGCAAGATGGCACCAATATTGAAATTGCAAATACATGAATATGAACACTAAAAAAAAAAGGAGTTCAACACAGTATTCTTACCAACCCTGTACTATCAGTGTCAGATAGGGACATTGTCTTAAAGACAGACAGATGAAAATAATCTAGACAGCAATGACATGTTTACATATCATGCTCGGTGTTACAAGGAAAGATCGATGTAGGAAAAGATCATATCAGAAGGAGAGTCGGCACAGAACCAATACTGAAATGTATGGGTAGACAAGTCGGCACAGAACCAATACTGAAATGTATGGGTAGACAAGTCGGCACAGAACCAATACTGAAATGTATGGGTAGACAAGTCGGCACAGAACCAATACTTAAATGTATGGGTAGACAAGTCGGCACAGAACCAATACTGAAATGTATGGGTAGACAAGTCGGCACAGAACCAATACTGAAATGTATGGGTAGACAAGTCGGCACAGAACCAATACTGAAATGTATGGGTAGACAAGTCGGCACAGAACCAATACTGAAATGTATGGGTAGACAACAGTTCCAATAGTTTGGCCATGTAACCAGACTGGCAGCAGAGAGAGCACCACAGAGAGCTGTCTTATACAACAGTAACAGATCCTGAGGTCATCCATGCAGAACTGGAAACTCTGAACACAGATGGGCCAGCTCCAGAGATCTCTTTCTATCCAGGCACTGAGACAAGAAAAAGATATATCAACATAGAGATTATTTTTCTGTACAAAAAGGGTGCCAGTGCTCACCACAAATTGTATATTACCGTAGTGCTGAAACAAAATGTCTAACAAAGGTGCCGGTACCATATACTATTACCTCCCGGCATATTAAAAAACTTATCTGTGTTTGTTTGTGTGTGTGTGTGTGCGTGCGCACGGGCACATGTGCTTGTATGCATGTGTTACACAGCAAAACAACAACAAAAACACACAAACATGTAACCTGAATTGTTTATGTGAAAGTAATGTACAGTGTCTATTGGCAAAAGTAATGTTAACTGTGCCAGTTTGCCTGTGTGATTGTTTTCTGTTAATCTGTGTAACTTCAAACCCTCAGGAGGATGGACCAAAGATGATGATGTACCTCTACCAACCAGGATGAGGCAACATGCAGCAATCCTAGATTCACAAATTCTAGACCCTGCTTCTACAGTCATTGCTATTTTCCCATCACCAATGATGTATGCAGGCCCAACAGAAGTTAGTATTGTTTTGTATTTGTGTATGTAGTAGTAGCATTTGAGCATACATATAATAAACAGGCATCTGTGTTTAAATATCTGACTTCACGACATTCAGTGAAGATGGTAAATTAGAGGAAGAAATTGACATTTAATGCAGTAAAGCAGGCGCAGGTCAAGTACTGGAACAGCTAGCTCCCCTCTTACAGCATAAGGCAATCCCAATCCTAAAAAAGAGCCACCCCAATTAAAGCATATTCCGTCCCACCCTATGCTACTACTGCCAGACATGGTCACTCACAACAAAACATAAAAGTAAATTAGTAACCATGGAAATGAGTGTCTGAGAAAGGTTGTAGGAGTGACCAGAAGAGATAAAATCAGGAATGAGGTCATACGAGACAAAGTTGACAGATAACAATTGTAAATTACATACAAAGACAGCAAATCAAATGGTTTGCCTGCTTGGATAGAACACCTTCTGATACTATAGCATACAAGGCATATACCAACAAAGAATATAGACGTAGAGCAAGAGGTAGACCAAGAACAAATGGGAAGATAACATCAGAGAAACTCTACAGCACCACAATGTGTCTGTGGTCGAAGCAGCCGGAAAAGCATAAAGCGGGACCTTATATCTCCCTGCACACCTGAAGCAGTAAAAGAGGACGTCAAGACAAAGAAGAAGTAGAACAACCTGTTCACAAGATCATCAGTAATCATTTAAGAGCCAGGCTCTTCCAGATATGTTTACAATGATCATATATCTTGATCTATTTTATACTTGTTAACTTTGAATGAATCTGCAATGTATTCCTACTTCAGAATGATTCCAGGAACTGAAGAATATAAATGTGAATATGTTCATCAATTAAAACACAAAATGACACTAAAATATGAAATCAACAAGCTCTTGTCATGTCAGATTACTTATTGTCTTTCCTCTCCATAAAGGTTCCCATCAGCCATCTCTAGTGCCTATTTGATGAGACTAAGTCATACCTAAAATAACTGCTAGGAAACAGTTGCAGTGATGCCAAGGACTGGCCTTTAACAGAAATGGAAATTAGGCTCATTCACTGCACCTTGTGTTCAGTACACAAGTGTAGATTTCCTGTAGATAATCTAATTCAAGCCAAGAAAAGACAAAAAAGAAGAATAAGAAGTACACAAGTGTAGATTTCCTGTAGATAATCTATTTCAAGCCAACAAAAGACAAAGAATAAGAATAAGACCACTTTGATGCAGCCATAGCAAAGAGAGGCCTAATGTACTGATGATTATGACTGCTGCACACATAGAACAAGCAATGTCTCACTCACTCAGGCAATACCTTGCTCTGTTGGTCTGACTGCTGCACACATAGAACAAGCAATGTCTCACTCACTCAGGCTATACCTTGCTCTGCTGGTCTGACTGCTGCACACATAGAACAAGCAATGTCTCACTCACTCAGGCAATACCTTGCTCTGTTGGTCTGACTGCTGCACACATAGAACAAGCAATGGCACACTCACTCAGGAAATACCTTGCTCTGTTGGTCTGACTGCTGCACACATAGAACAAGCAATGACACACTCACTCAGGCAATACCTTGCTCTGTTGGTCTGACTGCTGCACACTTAGAACAAGCAATGTCACACTCACTCAGACAATACCTTGCTCTGCCGGTCTGACTGCTGCACACATAGAACAAGCAATGTCTCACTCACTCAGGCAATACCTTGCTCTGCTGGTCTGACTGCTGCACACATAGAACAAGCAATGTCTCACTCACTCAGACAATACCTTGCTCTGCTGGTCTGACTGCTGCACACATAGAACAAGCAATGTCTCACTCACTCAGGCAATACCTTGCTCTGCTGGTCTGACTGCTGCACACATAGAACAAGCAATGTCTCACTCACTCAGACAATACCTTGCTCTGCTGGTCTGACTGCTGCACACACATAGAACAAGCAATGTCTCACTCACTCAGACAATACCTTGCTCTGCTGGTCTGACTGCTGCACACATAGAACAAGCAATGTCTCACTCACTCAGACAATACCTTGCTCTGCTGGTCTGACTGCTGCACACATAGAACAAGCAATGTCTCACTCACTCAGGCAATACCTTGCTCTGCCGGTCTGACTGCTGCACACATAGAACAAGCAATGTCACACTCACTCAGGCACTACCTTGCTCTGACGGTCCGACTATTACACACATAGAACAAGCAATGTTTCACTCACTCAGGCAATACCTTGCTCTGCCGATCTGACTGCTGCACACTTAGAACAAGCAATGTCTCACTCACTCAGGCTATACCTTGCTCTGTCGGTCTGACTGCTGCACACTTAGAACAAGCAATGTACACAAGTGTATATTTCCTGTAGATAATCAATTTCAAGCCAACAAAAGACAAAGAATATGAATAAGAAGTACACAAGTGTAGATTTCCTGTAGATAATCAATTTCAAGCCAACAAAAGACAAAGAATAAGAATAAGAAGTACACAAGTGTAGATTTCCTGTAGATAATCTATTTCAAGCCAACAAAAGACAAAGTATAAGAATAAGAAGTACACAAGTGTAGATTTCCTGTAGATAATCTATTTCAAGCCAACATAAGACAAAGAATAAGAAGTACACAAGTGTAGATTTCCTGTAGATAATCAATTTCAAGCCAACATAAGACAAAGAATAAGAAGTACACAAGTGTAGATTTCCTATAGATAATCAATTTCAAGCCAACAAAAGACAAAGAATAAGAATAAGAAGTACACAAGTGTAGATTTCCTGTAGATAATCTATTTCAAGCCAACAAAAGACAAAGAATAAGAATAAGAAGTACACAAGTGTAGATTTCCTGTAGATAATCTATTTCAAGCCAACATAAGACAAAGAATAAGAATAAGAAGTACACAAGTGTAGATTTCCTGTAGATAATCAATTTCAAGCCAACAAAAGACAAAGAATAAGAATAGGAAGTACACAAGTGTAGATTTCCTGTAGATAATCAATTTCAAGCCAACAAAAGACAAAGAATAAGAATAAGAAGTACACAAGTGTAGATTTCCGTAGATAATCAATTTCAAGCCAACAAAAGACAAAAAATAAGAATAAGAAGTACACAAGTGTAGATTTCCTGTAGATAATCAATTTCAAGCCAACAAAAGACAAAGAATAAGAATAAGAAGTACACAAGTGTAGATTTCTGTAGATAATCTATTTCAAGCCAACAAAAGACAAAGAATAAGAATAAGAAGTACACAAGTGTAGATTTCCTGTAGATAATCAATTTAAAGCCAACAAAAGACAAAGAATAAGAATAAGAAGTACACAAGTGTAGATTTCCTATAGATAATCAATTTCAAGCCAACAAAAAGACAAAGAATAAGAATAAGAAGTACACAAGTGTAGATTTCCTGTAGATAATCTATTTCAAGCCAACAAAAGACAAAGAATAAGAATAAGAAGTACACAAGTGTAGATTTCCTGTAGATAATCTAATTTCAAGCCAACATAAGACAAAGAATAAGAATAAGAAGTACACAAGTGTAGATTTCCTGTAGATAATCAATTTCAAGCCAACAAAAGACAAAGAAATAAGAATAGGAAGTACACAAGTGTAGATTTCCTGTAGATAATCAATTTCAAGCCAACAAAAAGACAAAGTATAAGAATAAGAATAAGAAGTACACAAGTGTAGATTTCCTGTAGATAATCAATTTCAAGCCAACAAAAGACAAAGAATAAGAATAAGAAGTACACAAGTGTAGATTTCCTGTAGATAATCTATTTCAAGCCAACAAAAGACAAAGAATAAGAATAAGAAGTACACAAGTGTAGATTTCCTGTAGATAATCAATTTCAAGCCAACAAAAGACAAAGAATAAGAATAAGAAGTACACAAGTGTAGATTTCCTGTAGATAATCAATTTCAATCCAATAAAAGACAAAGAATAAGAATAAGAAGTACACAAGTGTAGATTTCCTGTAGATAATCAATTTCAAGCCAACAAAAGACAAAGAATAAGAATAAGAAGTACACAAGTGTAGATTTCCTGTAGATAATCAATTTCAAGCCAACAAAAGACAAAGAATAAGAATAAGAAGTACACAAGTGTAGATTTCCTGTAGATAATCAATTTCAAGCCAACAAAAGACAAAGAATAAGAATAAAGAAGTACACAAGTGTAGATTTCCTGTAGATAATCTATTTCAAGACCAACAAAAGACAAAGAATAAGAATAAGAAGTACACAAGTGTAGATTTCCTGTAGATAATCAATTTCAAGCCAACAAAAGACAAAGAATAAGAATAAGAAGTACACAAGTGTAGATTTCCTGTAGATAATCAATTTCAAGCAAACAAAAGACAAAGAATAAGAATAAGAAGTACACAAGTGTAGATTTCCTGTAGATAATCAATTTCAAGCCAACAAAAGACAAAGAATAAGAATAAGAAGTACACAAGTGTAGATTTTCTGTAGATAATCTATTTCAAGCCCAACAAAAGACAAAGAATAAGAATAAAGTAGTACACAAGTGTAGATTTCCTGTAGATAATCAATTTCAAGCCAACAAAAGACAAAGAATAAGAATAAGAAGTACACAAGTGTAGATTTCCTGTAGATAATCTATTTCAAGCCAACAAAAGACAAAGAATAAGAATAAGAAGTTACACAAGTGTAGATTTCCTGTAGATAATCAATTTCAAGCCAACAAAAGACAAAGAATAATGAATAAGAATAAGAATAGGAAGTACACAAGTGTAGATTTCCTGTAGATAATCTATTTCAAGCCAACAAAAGACAAAATAAGAATAAGAATACACAAGAAGTACACAAGTGTAGATTTCACTGTAGATTCGCTGTCAAATCTATTTCAAGCCAACAAAAGACAAAGAATAAGAATAAGAAGTACACAAGTGTAGATTTCCTGTAGATAATCTATTTCAAGCCAACAAAAGACAAAGAATAAGAATAAGAAGTACACAAGTGTAGATTTCCTGTAGATAATCTATTTCAAGC